CTCGCTCGCGACGATGACACGCACACGCATATTCTGGGGTCGGATCACCCCTTGCCGTTGTGGCTGCTGCTGCTGCTGCCATCCAGCCTCTTTGAAATCCGTGCCGAAGGAGAAAATGCAAAGTAACCAGCCATTGAAGCTCAGCCAAGGCGTTCACCCCTGAGGAAGCAGACGTCGAGTGCCCTGCCAGATAATAGCACACCCAGCAATGCGCTATTTCAGGCCAAAAATCGCTCGACACACTAATCCGTGCAAATGCTGAAAAGACACGGCCAGCTTCTTGAAACAGAAGGATGTGATGGTGATCTGTGCAGGGGAAGACAGGCAGCGCATCCCTGCTATTGGGTTCCGCATCCATCGCCATTGCGCCCAAAGCAGGAGCAGCAAGCAAGCAATTCAGCAGAACAGGCCCTTCAGCCAAGCCTAATAGAAGAATCTGTAATACCCTTCAGCCAACCTTGACCACCACCACCACCACAAGCTCGCTTGCTTCAAGCATTTGCGGAAGAAGAAAAAAACAGGGCGTTTCAGGAGTGCTCATGGGCCTCGCGGCAATCAAGGCCTCGGGACGGATTAGGGCCGCAGGAAGTTTGTTCGGCAAGACATGCTCAGACAACGGCGTAGAAAAAACTTTAAAATAGAATCCCGATGCTGTTGAACAAACTTTGAGCTTGATAGCCGAGCTGACAGTCTGCGTCACGTTCTAAAAGAGACCAAAAGAAATCCTTTTTGTCTGTGCAGGCAGGCAGGCCTTGGCCCGTGCCAGTCAAGATGCGCAACTGCTTCGTCAGGTGCGTGTTTCAGAAGTTGGGGTCAACCAGGGTGCGAGGCTCCAGCATAGGCTCAAGACAATGCAAGCACGCTAGAATAGGAACAGGTCCTCGAGTACTCCGTAGTTACTCTGTGACTCTTTTGTCCATTGTCGGCCTGCAAGAAAGCTTGCAGGACCAAAAGTATCATCGGCGCGTAGTGCAAGCGGGAAGAATGTTCTCCGGATGTTTCTAGTTTAGGCGAGTTGCATATATTACCACTTTACAGAATTACAAATTACAACTGGGTTATTACAGCCTTGTTAATATCAGTCAGTATAGCTAGTTAATACAAATTACTCCGTCTGGATAACTAGAGTCTTGGGCTCGGCTTGATGACAGTATTACGCAATTGATTCACCAGCCTCGGGATACAAGTGGATTGGGCACGGAGATCCCCCAGCCCGCCTCAAGTGAACCGTCTTGCTGTTGTCCATGCTGATCCATGGCATCCAAATAACTACCTAGTTAACCTCTCGTCTGGTGTCCTTGGGAATGTGGAATGTGCTGGAGGAGCCAACCGATTCCGCGCGGGGGCGCTAGCAAGGAATGCGGTGCCCATCTTGCCGTTGACCGTCTGTATCAGGACGTGTTGTGGCCTCTAAGCTTTTCCTGCGGCAGGTGCATGGACTTTCAGAAAGCGGCACAAAGCTAAAAAGATGGGATTCAGATGGGGGCCATTGATGCGATGGCATAAACAGGTCAAATGCTACGAGATCCGTTCGCATGGCGCGCTCCGCAGCGGCTGACAGTCGCCAGGCACAAGGCCATTGTTGTTCATTGTCGTACATTGTCGTACATTATTGTATATTGTTGTACATTGTTGTATATTGCTGTACATTGCTGTACATGGTCTTTTGTGTTTATTGTGAAAGTAGACATGACAAGATTTGCTCATGGGAAATCGCGGCGATCTGTCAGAGACGGAAATTGCCGTGTCTATCTTTTTCTCTGCTAATAGTTGGTAGTCAACCATTCAACCATTGTTGACCTCTCGTTCTCGCATGAGACGGCGTCGAATGTAAGCTACCGCAAGGTTGCACCAGATTTCACACCGACGGATGATCTTGGTCATCGGCAGACGCATCTACGAGACCGGGAACCCGGAGCCGCGGAAAAAAAAAGAAAGGTTAATACGGTGTTTCACAGACAAGATCACAAGTTCGCGAGGCGGACCAGTAACTAACTAATACGGGCCTGTCTGTCGCACTACATGTGCAAGGTCCGCATAATGACAGGCAATGTATCACCCATGCATAGCACTAAACTAAACAAGAGCGTATACTAATATAAAGGAGCGCAAGTGATGATAATGATGAGCATGGCGACATGCTGCTCGAGTTAGCTTGTACACTACGAGTGAGCCTCCTTGTCCCCCCCACAGAAGTCACATTCGGCTTTTTATACATGATAATAAACCATGGTCGCGATGGATAGATACATGGATGCCATGCACGGCATTTCACTGCAGCATTTGACGGTCAGCACTTGCAAGGGGGCCAAGCCTCGCAACGTACGCTACCCAGGCTCACAGTTGCACGTTGTGTTGTGCTTGGGTCAAGGTTACTGGTAATAAGCTCCTTCTTGTCGTAGCTGACTGCTCTTGCTGGGCACCCCGATAGTCACAGGGCTCACTCGTCAGCCTGGCGACCCCCATTGCAACGTGAACCCGCAGTCCCGACACTACGGGACGGGTTGATGATGGTGGGAGACGGCGCGGCGGCCGGGTGGGCGTGTGTCGCAGTGCGCTAGAAACAGTCAACACATGCGGGAGCGCTCCACGGAGCACTCGACGGATCACTTTGAGTAACTAGTTCGCTGGCCAGTTTCCCAGAAAGCGTGTGACGTGCGACGGCCGACCGAGTTTCGACTGCGCGTCGAGCTTCCGAGTTGCTCAGCGCGGTGGATGACTCCTCTGATATGACTGCCTGATGCCTGATGACGCTGAAGGACAGCGCTGATCGCCGCTACAGGCAGTGATGATGGCTTTGTCCACTTGGGTCTTGCTCCATTAGTTACCTGGTAGTTAGTTATCATCTACTCCAGGCTCCAGGCGGCGGGCGACGGCGACGGGAAGCTAAAACACTGGTCCGCGCCCGTCCACAGCGAACGTTCCTTCTGGCCAGAAAAAAAAAGGGCAGCAAACATGGCAATCCGCATGAAAGAAGGCCTTTGACAATCGACAATGACAATTGTGAAAAAAAAAAGTATAACTCGGACTTCCCCGTTCATACCCACCCCAACGATGGCCGCCCGAGCTTTTCGTCGGTGTCCCGTCCGCTTGTTATGTAGGTAGCTATCTCGCCCCTGAAGTTCCTTTTTTTATCCACCCACTGTTTTTCGCGGGATCAACGACCGGACGGGGCCCTGCTGTGCCCGTTTCACAAAGCCGGCCGGCCCTCTCGCGCCTCAAGCAAAAAAAAAAAAGTAAAAAGAAGAAGCTGTTCTCAAGTGGGCTGGCGGAACCCCCCCCCTCTAGACTTGTAAAGACGTAAGCCGGTGGTGGGTAATAAATAAGTGAGAAAGAAACATCTACCTCGCAGCACACGAGCTCGTTAGCGCAACAAGCCCCGAGAAATGCACTGCACAACTCTAGATTCGAATTATGGGCTTTCTCGCCTTGAATCAGAGGCACACATGGCACACAGCACGCAGCACACAGCACACAGCACACAACGCACTTTGGTGCGACCAAGGCTCGGCAATTGACTACATAGGTAGGAGAGACATCTAGATGGAACGTGGGACGCGACAGGTAGTCTCCCCGGGACACTATCGGACTACTCCGTACTCGAGATTGGATTGCATAGAAGTCGGGTATTTTCTAGACTTGTTGATAATATACATCCACAAAGACGCACATGTTATTATTCCGCACCGCGGTGCTGCGCAGAAACTCGGCTGCCAAGTTGCTGCTCGTGTTATTTTTCTCGCGTTCCTTCACCCACACCATTATGCAAAATGCCCCACCACCACGCGGGCTTGGCCAATGATGGAGGCTCAGTTCCTGGGCTAGCCCAGGGGTGACGTTGAAGCTTTCTTGTTCGCTGTGGGCTCTATTATTGCCCTCCCCCCCCCTCACCAACCAGCAGCATGCGAGCCCATGACGCAGCTGGCTTGCTCTCCACCAAAAAAGTCCAAAAGCTCTCTGTTGCCCTACTAATAAATGCCTAGCTTCCTTATGGGAACCCTACCTAGCTTCCTGCAAGCCTTTGCTCCAAGCCTTAGCTCCTCTGGCAGAAACGGCCGACTTGGGAGAGCTGCCGTGGCCCGTTCATCAACAAGGCGCCCCTCCCCGCCTCTCTCTCGAAGAAAAAGCTGCGTGTGGCTCCTGCCTGTCTCACTCGCGATGCCGGTCTTGACAAGCTCTCAAGTCATGACGCCAGAAAAGAAGCCGCCCCTCAGTGTCTACAATTGTCTCGTCACCGCCTGGCCAAAGCAACAAAGGAGGAGAGGCCCCGAAGCGCAACCTGGCGGCTAAAGCAAAGGCCAGCAACCCTCCTCCGAGAGAAAAACAACTGTCCCCTAGCGGGCCTCTAGATCAAGTCATCAGGTCGGGCGTGTCACGCAAACAGTGCGCTAAGACATATAACTCGAGATGCTGCACATAAACGGCCACCTTCTTTACCAAGTACCAAGGACTGTAGAGCGGACACGGCACGCTGCATGGCGTCGAAGCTTTCTGCAACTTTGCCAGTGCACCCGAATCCAACCGTCCGCCCAATCGCTGTCCTTGCTAATTCCAGCATCCTGGATTGCCCGTTTTCTTAGTTACTCCCCCACCCCCATCCCACAACGTAATCACACGCCCCTTCCTCATCGACGGCGCACCACCCAGGTTTGCTCTTCATGGGTTTTTACACCCTCAGCCTGCAAATTACGCCAATCTTGTCCCCCCGGGTTTTTTTTAGTTTTTGGCAAAATTTATATCAATGATAACCCTCACCCAACAATGGCCCCCTAGAACTCTTTGCCCATTCTTGCTCCCCTTCTTTTCATTCTCAGCCATCTGGATGGCTTGCGTCCTCCTCTACACGTGACAACCTTCAACGACAACAAACACCCTCGAGGTTGCACCTTACGAATAGCTCCAGCTCCGTCTTAACACAGACCCGCACCGACGCACCTTGCCAAAGCAAAGCAAAAGCTACCAGGGCCAAGGATTACCCTTTCTCCATCCTCTGAGTGACAATGTGGGCCAGTGGCTCCCCATCGTACTACTCTGGGTTCGCCAGTAGGCCAGCGCCTCTGCTCAGGGACAGACCCGCGAAAAATGTTGATAAAACTTGTGTCTCCCAACGCGGCCAGACCTCTGACGCTCCAGGTACTATCACGGGCCTCGCCGAACTCTATCTGCCAGCTGCCGAGGCTCCTCCCTCTCCAGAAAGCCTTCGTCAACTAAACGCCGAGATGAGAATGGCTACCAACCTGCGTCGTGGCTACGGCCACAAGCTGGGCTCATCCTCCTCGTCTGTACTCTCCTTTGGTGGTGACCTCGACCAGGTATTGGACAACATGGACATGGTCCGCCGCTCATCCTTTACATCAACCGAGAGCACTCACCTATCCAGAGATGCTTCCGAAGCATTCCAGCACTTTTCCAAGAATCTTTTCCACCGTCGTGCCAGGTCCAAGCAGGAGAGCACTTCGTCTGGCAGCTCTCTATATTCAGCAGAAGTCCCCTCCGACCCGGCAGGCGCAATGAAGGACTCCGTCATCCCCAAGCTCTTTACAAGAAGAAAGCCGTCCCGCGATGAGCCTGCCACTCTGCACAAACGCTTTCAGATTTCCGATCCCTTTAACTTTCAACATGTCACTCACACAAATCGTGACACAGTGGAGGACGTCCTGGCTCTCGAAGACGACCAATTAGACCCCAGTCGCTTCAGAGGCCGACCCAGAGCCGCAACTGGTGTTTCTCAGCACACTTACACCAACGTGTTGGCGGAAACCGTGGCCGAGCATGAAACTCGGACCGATATCCTTCCTCCCAGACCCAGACTTGCTGCCCGTCACACTGGCAGCTTTCAGACCATGCGCCGCTTCATCAAATCAGGCAAAGTGGCAGACCTTCCCGTACCGATACCAACATCCGCTCCAGCCAACCGACAGCCACCGCAACGCCCCCCCAGATCTCCTCCTGTCTCGCCCGAATCTTCATCTCCTCCCGTGCCCCCTCGAGTATCAAGCCGTCAAAGGTTCTATTCCACCGCGATTGAAACGAGAACGAGCTATTTCGCGGAGCGTCCCGTCAATGCCGGAAACTTCCAACGCCCTCGGCCGTTTACACCATCGAGCCCCACGCCAGCTTGCGAAGCATTTACACCACCAACTGATTTCTCATCAATTCCCCAGGAAGGGCTGCTGGGCCGTCCCCGAACCGCTACGCCGGAGCCAGCGTGGCCCCTGGCTAGCCCTACGATCGCCAGCTTCGAGGCACCGCTCCCGGATCTCATCGAGGATGACGGCCACACGAGCTGGTCATCGGTTGCCCACACCAACCGCAACAGCACCAACGCGTCTCTTCGTGGCAGCAGGTCGGTCCCCACGCTGGCAAAGCTAGCGGAAGAACAGGGCGCAGCCGTGGCAAATGAAAAGTTTATTGAGCCGAGCGCATGGTCTGCGCAGATGAAGATGGCGCTGGAAGAATCAGTGGACGACAGTCCCACACTTGGCCGCGCCAGCTGGGAGGACGATATTGACTATTGCTACGAGCACGAGGCCGAGGCTGACTGCGATTACCAATGGGAACGTCCCTCCATGGACGTCTCTCCTGCCGGCAGGATGTACGCTGCGTCGCAGAGCTTCTCGGCCCTGGACGATGCTCTCCTCAAGTCCTCTGCCAAGCGGTCTCACGGTATGCCTTCCGCGTCTGGTATCGAGGTGCCGGAGCTAAGCCCTGCCAGCCAAACTTCGGCCGTCCTAGGTCACGAAGCCATCACCCCCCTCACATGTGACACCGCCGCCGACGCTCAGTTTCGCCACAAGAACACTGAGCTCATCGTGGCCGGCCACCTTCACGGCGCACTCACGTCCCAGTTCTCGCCGTCGCTGCTCGTCCCGCACGACTACCAGCGCGAGTCGGACAGCTTCATGGCCAGCGGTCTCAAGTCAGCGTCGCTCGCGCTCCAGCGCTCCAGCACGGCCACCACCGCGAGCAACTTCACCTCCAGCACGGATTCCATCGGCGAGCGCCACACATCCACCAACTCGAGCTGGACGGCACTCACGCGCCACACGGCGAGCACGTCGTCTCTCAACAAGCTTGGCATGTCCTGGGTCGATGAGGCCGCCGAGCCAGTGCCCGTCCTCACGGCCCCAGCCGAGGCCGAAGAAGAACCCACGGCCCACGGGGAGACGACTCCGCCTACAACGTCCGAGGACGTTGTACCTGAGCTTGTTATGGCCCTCCCGCCGGCCGGTCGGCGATTCACCCTGCACAAAAGCCACGCTAGCGAGTCGGTCGTCTGCAACAGCGTCACTCCGATGGACGCCCAGCCGCTGCCCAAGTCGCGCCGGCCTCGTGCCCGTACCTCGAGCCTTAGCCAGGCGCCGCCTATTGGCCAGTACGCCCTGTTCCCACGCAGCAGCATCAAGACGCATGGTGACAAGATCTAAGGCCCAAACCTGTTCTATTATATTTTTCATTTTTCATTTGCACAAAAGCCCCCGCGGGCTCACCCCCAACACCCAAGCATTGCGATTCTCATAGCACTGCTCTTCCATTCGCTACCAATGTCTCGCACATTTATTTGTTCTTCGCGACGGCGTTTCAGCATGTATTTTTTTTCTTTCTTTCTTGTTTGTTTCTGGTTTCACTAGACGGGAAAATGGTTCAAAAAGCAGTTAGACATTTGCGGCATCTCTTGCACCAACATGCGGGCTCCTTTTTCTGCATTGATTGCAAAATAGCCCGCCTTTCCTTTTCTGTTTGTTTACGATATGCATCATCACGGTCGTTACAGAGGCGTACATCACTCTTATGAACTCTTTTATTTTATTTTTACGCACATATATAGGCAAAGTGGGGAGGAACAGCACGGAAAGCACTGGGACATTGATCGGGTATATACTGACTTACTCGGCAGAGCATCTTCTTCTGAGAGCTTTGTGTAAAAAAATGATACTTGAAAAGTACTTGACTCTCATTTGCTTTCATCGTGCATGTGCTCTCAACCACTCGTCTTCGACACAATTGGGCCGACCAAGGGTGTCGCTAGTTCTATTGTAGCTTGTTGGAATAGATTGCGACTCTGTAGGATTCAAGTATCGGAAGCTGATGGACTCGTTGAATTTTATGAGCCCCTCCCCCCGGATTAAAAAGACCAAAAAACTATGACCAAAAAACAGACCTTTTCTCCCAAAACGCCACTTTCCTCGCGTGCATTCTTCCTTGCTCCGTATCTCAGCGTCACTCGGCACCGCCTCTCAATAACCGGTCATGAGTGAATGGATTGGCTGCCTCTATTTCGTCTTGGTCTTCTTTTTGGGGCGCTCCTCATCCTCATCCTCGTCCTCGTCCTCACCCATGGCGTCATCGTCCACGTCGCTCTCCCCGGCATCGCTGGCCGAACCGGCCTCGCTGCCTTCGCTCGCGTCGGGGTCGCTAATGTCGCTTTCCGTCTCGGCGTGGAAGTCCTCGTCGACGCTCTCCTCGTCCTCGTCGGCGGAGCCGCGGTCCGCGCCGCTCACACCGGCGCCCTTGACCACCTCGTCGTCCGAGTCGTCCATGTCCTGCTCGCGCAGCGCCGCCGCGAGCAGGTTGGCGTCCTCGTCAATCTCGTTCTTGACGCGCAGACCCTTGAGCTTGAAAAAGGTTTCGAGCGCCTTTAGGTCTTCACGGTTAATGTTGCTAAACTGCGACGAGCCCGTGCCGCCCTTCATGGCGACGGTGATGTCAAACGTGGACAGCGTGGACACGGCACCGCCGACGCGGGAAAAGGTAATGGACTGCGTCTGCTCGTAGGCAATGTACGTGGCCGGCTTGGGCACGAACATGAAGGCCTTTTCTAGGCAGTACAGGAAACCTTCGCTGGCCTTGATGGAGCACTTGATACCGTACTGGCTGCGGTGACTGCGCAAGGTTAGCTTACAAGAAATGGCAACGGTTGAGGCTGTGCATACGTGATGAAGTCCTTGGCCGGGGATGAAATCTTCTTGTTGGCAAGGCCGCGGAAGATCTTGGCCACTACGTGATGCAGAGGCTCCTCGTAATGGGCGTCGAGCTTGTCCTTGTACTTGCTCTCTAGCGTGGCTTCGTCGAGATTCAGGTCAATGGTGACTTCCTCGTCCTTTTTGAACTGCATGACAACAAAGGGGTATCTCGTCTGACCCTGGCGCAGAGGAGGGTCGAGGCCGATGCAGAGCATGCAGTGCATATCGTCAGGCTTCGGGAGAACCATGAACTTTTTGATGGCGTCGTATTGGATCTTGTAGTCGTACGTTTTGCCGCGGAGTCGGAACGAAGCTTCGTACATGTCGATATCGAAACGTCCTCTGTTGATCGTTAGCATGGCACATTGCCCAGAGAAGCGTCCCTACGGACCTGGGAGTAAGATGCAAAACATCCAGAAATGTGGCAATGGTATCGCCAGCCATCTCACCGATTTCTGCCTTGTCCATCAACGTTTCGTAAAAGAGCGTAGCAGCATTCTTCTCCGCCTCGGGCTCCTGGTCGGAACCCTCGCCGTCCTCGCCATCGGCTACTTCCTTCTTGGTGGTGGTGCCGGGGACGTAGAAGCGCATTTCGACCAGCTGATCCCTGCCGGCCGCGGCTTTTTTGCCCTTTCCGTTGGCCGTCGCGGTGTCGTTGCCATCCTGAGGCAGCGACATTTCCACGGCGACCTCGTTGCGGCCAGCCAGGTTGGTGTTACCGATTTCCGCATAGGGCAGCTCGAACGCGGGCCGGTTCTGCACGTTGAAGACGATTTCGGCCTTGGAGAACTCAGCCTTGCCCCAGTTCCAGCCGCGCAGAGCGTGCTCCTTGTTCTCGAGGACGTGGCTGTACCAGTTCTTGAAGACCTTGCTTAGGCGGTCGTAGTCTTCCTGCTGGAAACCGTCAAGCTGGATGACGCCCGAGTTGCGCTGGAGAATGCGGATCTCATATCCCTTGGCGACTTTGCTCCACTGCGCATTGCTAATGTTGTTGTGATCGAGCGTAAAGGTATCGCCACCGCCGTTTGGCTTCCAGCCGAAACCAGTCTCTGCGAACCGGCATCGGCCACTCTCCTTGGAGAGATCGAGATGGATGTTGTCGAAGCTCTCGCTGTTAGGGATTCAATATTAGCGCTTGTGTGCTGCGAATTGTTGCCACATGTGCCCGCATCATGGGCAAGCTCGCTGAGGAAGCGGCCGGCGCAAGGCTGGCAGAGCGCAAGTTTTGCGCAGACTCACATGGCAGTCATCTTGGGTGAAGCGTCCTCGACTCGAGCAAGCCTTTTGATTGAAAATTCTTTGACGCAGCAGCCAATAGATGAAGCGCGATGCTAGGCACACGAAAAAAGAAGCTTGATGCGAGGTGAAGGCTGTGGGATGAAACGAAGCAATTCACAGGCAGGGACTTGGTCGTGTGGAGAAGTGTACACGTCGGCAGCGCGTTCTTTGGTGCACTTTAAATTGTCGGACGCGCTCGACAACTATTATGGGTCTTATTAAAAAGACAGGTCTACTTGGCAACTCAAACTTGCAAAAACCAGGCCGTAATAAATTTGAGAATTTTGACTTCTGGATTTTTATTTATGCACATGCTTAAAATTAATGCTTAGGCCTATCGCCTACGCCGCGGACATGGCCTATAATTCAGTCTTCCCTACACTACCACACTATCGCTTACAATTTAGAGTGACAAAGTCGCTGCTGGCCCGGTCGCCTTGCTTGATATTTGCCTGACAAATAAAATAATCAAGAGTGCCTGCTACGCCCGCATATGTAATCACTCGAACTTTGAGGGTGACCTCGCCCTTGTCGAACCAGAATAGGCCCGGCATTCTGACTTGGTTCACGCCCAGTTGGAGAGCTGGCCGCGTCAGTACGCGGTGGGCAAATGATATGAATCAGCGTCCGCTGCAAAAACTTACTCTTTGCGTCCGTGACGGTCAATACCTGGCCCATTTCATTGTCTGGGCTGTTGAGGTCGTTGGGCAGCTCGCCCCAGATGTAAGCGACCTCGCCGCTGCTCATGGCGCTCTGCACATGGACAAAGGCGGCAAACGACTCGCCCTTGCGGATGGCCGTGGGCACCTTGATATCCACAAGAGTGGCCTGAGTAAAGGCGGCCAGCAGAGCCGCCGGGAGGATGTGGGAGAAACGCATGGCAGGTAAAGAACTGGAGCGTGATGTGGGTAGATGCGTCGAGATGGAACCGCGTGCACTTTATATATGCTGAACATCGAGGCTATTGTAAGCTGTGGATGTATTATGGCAGGCTGACCTCCATAATAAATGGATGAAATATTGCTATACGTGGTGACATTATGAAAATACGGGATGCTGCATCAGCACCGACCGCCCCTGCCTAACTGTTGTCATTGGTGGCACACAGTACAAGGGGGGACGGACTTTGAGGTACAAAATTCGAGCACCTAGTCGGGGATTTTTGTTCTTCGTAAAAAAAAGTTCCCATGACGCATCGGCCAAAGTGATTATGTCGCCGTGTGGTGGCTGTGGTCTACCTCGTGGCGCTTGGTCGCACTCTTTGAGAGGCAAAGAGTAACTATTCCTGTCTTCCCATGATTGGCTTCTGGATGCATCGACACGTTCAAATTGGGTAATCACTCGGACACAGAATACAATATCTCATCAGGCTTTTGCTCTTATTCAACCTCTCTCGAGAAAGCTACGTCACTGGTGCACGCACACACGGCGCAGCGGCGTCATCCTCCCCGTCAAGTCCATGCAGTGATACTCGGTGGCGACCCTCTTTCGTCTCTTTCCCGCATCGAAATTGCTTGACGCATCAGCGCCGGCTCCGTCGCCCTCGACAGGATACATGCAGTGAGGTGGCGCGGAGGCGCGACGGCGAGGCAGAGTCGCACGTATTGGCAGGCTGCGAGTCACGCTCCGCCTCCATTTCATATCCCAGCTTGCGCTTGGCAGAATCAGTGCACTCCGCATCGATTCCGTCGCAGAATGTCCCAAGGGAGTATCCCGTCCAGCCTCGCGAGACGATGCAATGGTTGGCTTGCTTCTGAGCATGGCCACACCAGCCGACTCCGTCCGCCGCCCGGTGCAGTGCTCGGCACGCCTACCACATCAATCGCCTGGAAAGTCGGCTTCCGGGCTTCAGGAGACAATACAGTCTCTCGCTAGGCGCAAAGAGAAACCAAGGGAAGCTCTTTGCCGGCCGTCCGTAAGGAAATACAGTCTTTTTCGTCGTCGACCACACCACTCTCCAGGATAGGCGTCGGTCCTCATCCATCTTGCGTGAGAGTAGACGCTTTCGGTAATGTATTTGGGAGGATCTGGAAGGACTTTTAGGAATTTCTGCAGGCGGAAGAGCTTGTTGTGTAAGGGCTCACACAAGATCGGACGTCACGGCGCTGCGATTGTCAGTGCTGCATGCTCGGAGCTGTCCCAGCGTAACTCACTTCTTCTACAAGCAGAAAAGCCATGGACATCGCTACGGACATGAAGACCGTGCTTCATGGCTTATTTTTGAAGCCTAGAGCGTACAGTTAGATGGCTCGCAGCCTAGTTTCAGGTCCGCGATCCTATAGGAGACGATCCGTGCGAGGCTGCGAGCTACCGTTTGAGAAACCAATCGGCACGGAATAATAAGGCAATTTAATTCGATGAGAGACCTCCTTTAAAGAAACAAGAAAAGAAAATACACATCCCGCCAAACAATCCTCCAAAGAGATGAATCCACACGAGACAGAGCGGCCAACTTTAACTTTCGTCCGTCAATCCAGAACCAGGGTTTATCAGTTTCAACATGTCCCGCAAGGCGGCCGTCTCGGCCTCCTGTTTGGCCAGTTGGATGCGCAGCTCGTCGCGCTCGCGCCGGACGTCGGTGACCTCGCCCTCGAGCTCCGCGATGCGGTCGAGCTTCTTCTGGCGGTACTTTTGCGCGGCGACCTTGTTGCGCTGCCGCTTGAGGAGCATCTCCGGGTCGACATGCTTGCGGCGCGAGACACTGGTGAGCCGCGGGTAGGACGAGGCGGCAGGCGTCGGGTGCGCGCTGGCCCCGTCGCCGCTGCTCGTCGTCGTCGTCGGGGTGTTGCTGTCAAAGACGCCGAAGCCGGACCAGTCGCCCGGGGTTGGCATCGTGGGCGCAAGCGCAGGCGCCCTCACAGGTAGCTCCGGCACGACGGCGAGGGTGGTGAGGGCAGCTGTCGCTGCGGCCGTGGTGAAGGCGCATTGCAGCTCATCATCAGCAACGGCCCAGTCCAGGTCGGCGTCTAAAAAGGCATTGTCCGGCGACCACCACACGGGGTCCTGCTGCAGGTTTGCGAACTGTTCTGGGAGGAAGAAGGATTCACAGGCTCCGCCGGCGTCGGCGTCGTCTCCCCAGGCAGAGCAAGAATGAATCCCGGCATGCCGTTTAGAGGAGGATGAGCTGGCGGGAGCTGCAGGCACTTGCGGCGGCTGCTGATCCCATGGTCTCAGGTTGTGGTTGGCCTCTTGCGCGAGGCCAGGCTGCGGCTAAACAAGGGGGTAGAAAAGGACACTTGGGGTGATGAGGAGAGGAAAGGGATCTGAATATCTGAAGGGGACGAGCAGGGCTTTAAACGTCCCCGTTTACACTGCGGGATACGCGTAGCGCTGAGACGGAGGTTGATCCGCGGAGCCTGATCGCCCAAACAGGTATGGACCATTATATCCCGGCCGTGTAATTGGCCAACTCCATCTCTGCGATGAGTCACAGTTGAACAAAATATGCAAGCTTTGTGCATGACCTTGAATAATAATAATTCAACAGCTTTCTGCACAGAGGGCACGTTTTCGCACCAGCAGCGTGATGAGGTCTGGGAGTTGTGGTTGTCTTTTACCATATAATATGCCAATTAATAATTTAGCGAGCCAACATGTCACAATAAGGAAGCGGTCACTGTTGTTTGGCGTAGAACCACGGCAAGAGTAAAAAAGAACCCGAGAAAAAAAGAAAAAAAAAGAAAAAAAAAGCAAAGCAAACAAAGCAGACACTCTTTAAAAGCAGCATCTCTTGTAACCTGCAGTCTTGCTTTGTCCGGTGCCTCATCCATCAACACAACCCCACCCGAAAGTGTATGACGTCGGCGCCGTTATTATTACCGAAGCATCGACAACTAAAGAATGAATGAACAAGCAACCGCATAAAACGCCACTTTTGAGCAATCACCCACAACATCACCGATACTGATTCGCTTTCCCTTTCACCATGTCGCGCCAATTGCACAAGCTTGACAGGGAGCCAAGACATAGCGGGCTCGTCGTGTCTCATCTTCATCTCATCTACACATCTCGGCTACTTATTACTTGGCAAGGCGATGGCCGAAGTGCCAAAAACTCTACTCGGCCAGCAAATCGGTACCACCCGCCATCGACAACTACTTACGCCATCATGACGTGAACCGTCGTCCAGCGCCATCAGCTGAGACAAGCTTCAGCAACCACCAACGAAGTCTAGCCCACACGTTCAACAAAACCGGTTTCCCAAAGCCACGCCGGCAAACCATATCCTTCGTCTTTGCCATCTCCTCGCCCTTTTCCAACCAACTATTCCCGCTAACGCATGCAGCCGTGAGTCTGACCATGCCGCGCACATCCGTTTCTGCAGTTTGTCTTACGCCACTACGTCAGAGACCGCAAGCTCACCATCCTGTCAATCCCGCCACCCCGTAGTTTGACCAGTATTAATAGACATCAGCACTCGTACAATTAAAACCCTTCTCAAAACGAGCCCTTCTCAATCCATTATATAAATACCCCGTAATCTAAATTACATCGACTTACCCGCCAAACCGCTCTACATACATCAAGACAGGGTCCCCTCGCCTACCAATTGGCCTTTACACAACTACCGCGTCTTGTGTCTTTCTCCATCTTCCAATTCCCCATCATGGACACCATTTCTCAGTTGGCTACCACGGCCACCAAGTATGCCTTTGGCGACTCCACCACCCAAGAGCCCATCTCCGGCTCCCAGGGCGACGTCACCAAGGGTGAGCCCTACGACGCCGGCAATCTAGGTACGCACACCTATATCCCAACATACAAACAACCCGCTGACAAAAAAACCCAGATCCTGAAGAGCAGCAGCGCCTCGGCCAGGGCCTCAGCGCCGCCGAGTCCCGCAGCAGCCCCGACGGCGTCTCCAAGAGCCAAAACACCGGCCCCATCACCACGGCCACCAACACCACAAACAACGCCGGCTTCACCAACTCCCAGCACGACATGTCCGCGCCCGGCCGAAACACTGCCCACGAGGACATTTCCAGCGCCGGCGGCATCACCACCGCCACGAACCGCACCACCGCTAGTGGCTTCACCTCACCCGGCCAGGATATGGGCGGCAATGCCCGCAGCAGCACGTCCAACTTGGACAGCACCCGTAACACCTCTGGCTTCGATAGCAGTAGCAGCAACCGGGCCACGTCCAACTTGGACAGCACCCGCAGAACCTCTGGCCTCGACAGCAACAACAGCAACCGGGGCACGTCCGACCTAAACACCCCCAGCGACAACCTAGCCAGCCAGGACCTCCGCCGCGCCGACGACGCCTCCTCCGCCAACATTGACAGCAAGAGCAAGCCCTCCGAGAAGCCCTCCGCCGGCGGCGATGCCGACGAGCCATCGGCAGACGTATCCGGCCCCGGACCGCGGGACCTCTCCACCGTAGCCCGCGAGCACGGCGGCGACGCCGGCACCCACGGCACCGAGACGGCCGCCTCCTCCAGAAAGCCCGGCGCCGGCAGCGACCTGCCCGCGGACCAGAGCCAGGAACAGGGCACCGGTGAAAAGTACGTCAAGTCGAGCGGGCTGCAGGCCGACGGCGGCGACTTTGACGCGGCCAACCCCGGCGCCGGCCGCGAAGCGGACCGCCTCATGGAGCAAAAGGGCATCATCAGCACGTCGACCGCTGGCAAGGACAAGGAGGCCGCGGCGGACCAGCATCACAAGGCGCCCAGCAGCGGTAGTGACGGCAAGGAGAAGCACGGCCTCGTGGACAAGATCAAGGAGAAGTTGCATAAGCACTAAGCGTCCGCGACGTGAGATGGATGACGAGACTTAACATGAAGACATCCGGGGCGGGGCGGGTGTTTGACTCGCCTAATAATGGGAATTGGATGAGTACCTGGAACGATTATGACCTTTTAAACACAATGAATTGTATGTTTCTGTTACTTTCTCTCAAATAAACTCACAATTGTCCAAAGTCTTGCAAATGTTAGTCAAAACGCCGCCCTTGAGCAACCAAATGTTACATGCGCTTGAAGAGAAGAACCCATTTCGATACGCCAGCAAACCTCCCGAGGTCAAAGCGAAAACATCTGACAAGTCTCCTCCAAATTCCAATACAGCCGTCATTGGACACAATTCAAAGTATGCGAGGGCAAGGACAGACAGAGACAGGAAATGGTTCGATAACACGGATAAAAATAAACAACGAATTTGGGCCTCCCACTTGTTTCCTACACATGATCCTCTTATATTGACACGGAACCAACAGGCCTTCTCTCCCGTAATGTCCGTCCCCGGCTCCCCCACAAAAACCGCGCAGACCTCATCCACACTGTCCACATCAGCGCAGGGGGATGCATCGTTATACCAATGAGAAGGCGTTGCATCCAGCTCTCTGATGCAACCTTCTTTTCCTCGTCCGTCCGGGGTTGCCGTCGAACCGTCACTGGTTCGTCGTTTATCGGTCCGGGGGACGTTAGTACACAAGATTTCTCCTCGTCCAAAAAAAAGAGTTGTTCAAAAACACGTCGTTGAAAATAAAAGACGTCGCTCAGGGTCGTTTCGGGTCGTAAATAAACGCGCGTACGTATGATAAATCTATCCTCCTCAAGAAACCGGACCAAGTCATGAGTCTCATAGGAATCCAGACTCAGCCAGCACTCTATCCACGCAACAAATAGTCAGCAAAAGAACAAAACTCCTTTGGTTTCCGTATATTGCCTCTTTCTTCTTCCTCCTTCAGAAATCCTAGATGAGTGGTCTTACGAACCTCACGATTTTTTCTTCCTCGCGCTCGCGCGGCTCGATCTGCAGGCTCTTGTCGTACATTTCGTGCACGTCGCCCGCCGCCTGCATGTTGCTGATGATGTAGTCTTGCAGCTCCGGTACTGGCTGTAGGGAGTATCCCACATTTTGGTACTGCTGAATGTCGCGAATCACCTCGGCCGTCTTGGCACGCTTCGCAAAGTTGATCAGATTCGTCTTTTTGATGATTGATGGAATGCCATCCTCGATAAAAGTCAAATCGGTCAGGTACACGCCGAAGAATGGAATGCAAGGAGGGTTCGCCGCGTGCAGCGCCTCGCGGTACTCGCCAAAGTTCTTCGTGCTCGCCATCAGCTTGCGCATCGTTTCCAGCACCGCGTGCGTGCGCTGCGGTACTTGGTCCCACGTTCGTTTGAGGCGCGCAATCGGTGCCGTGCCGAGCGCTGAGATGATTGACGTAAGCGTAGAAAAGTTGTTCAGTGTCCGGCATTTCTGAAAGATGTTAGCTTGCTCGCATATACTTGAATGAGCGCACTTACATCGGCGACGGAGACAAAGTGCTTAATCACAGTGACTCGCTTCTTGACGTCCGCTTGCGCCAAAATCATTTCGGCCACCCAATTGGTCATTTGATTCGAGTGCAGAATCAGTGCTTTGACGTTCGGTGCAGGCTCAGGCTCACCTTCGCCAACCTTCTTCTGCCACGTTTTGTTGAGACACTCGGTCGCCTTGATCTTGCCGTAAAGTCTCGATTCAATGATGGTCAACTGACGAGCAAACTCAGTCACATCGACGTCAGCGAATTTCAACTTCTTCATGTTCTTGGGCATGATCGGTGACGGTGTGCTCTGGTTCAGGGTCTGAACCATACGCCTGGCGTTTACGTCTGTACCATTGAGTCTTTGGTTGAGCATAGCCATCAGCGGCCCCGAACCTGGAGTTTCTGTCGATTTAACTGTATCTCTAGCAAAGTCGTATACGTCTCGGATCAATTGTTTAGACTCGTCGTTGTACTCTTCCATCCAGAAGCTGTCAAACCAGCTCTTGAGGATATTGACTACACGAAATCGAATGAGTTTCTGCTTTCTGTCGCGCCAAGTCTCAAAATCCGGTTGTGAGAGTCCTTCAGGTGGCTGAATGGCGAATCGCTTGACTAATAACTCAAACAGTTCTCGTGCCGACGTAAAAGATTTGTATGTGAGGAGAAAGGTGTTGTTAAAGGATGAATCTAGCTTGTCGTGCCGCGTGAGCTGCTCGACAAGCGCCAGTAGAGAGCCGCCCCGGACGGCGGGCTGAACAGACTTTGTATCCCACGAAACATCGTTTTCGTGGTCGAGGCGCAAAAAGTCTGGAGTGTCGTCGGCCTGCATGGCTTGAGGAGAAGGATCTTCTCCGAAAATCTTTTTGACCTTGGAATAATCCCCCTTTCGTAGGGCACCAGGCGGCGGCTCGCCCTCGCTGAAAGATTGGGCCGTCATAAGTGCAGGTCGAACAGGCACGATCTTGGACTCATTTCGTTGGTGTGGACGCTCAAATGGCATGGACTCGCCACGCTGCAGCGGTGGGGGGGGTATTGGATCCCGCGACCGCGATTCCTGCTTCTTGGGCGGTTGGAGCTGCAGGTTGGCCTGGACTTGCTCCGACAGTAGCTGTAACGAGTAGCCAACGTGGGCCGAGTTAGTCTCGAGCGCTCTGGCACATGATTTCACATATTCAAGCCTGTTTCCCAGCGCTTCCCCCCGAATCTCGGACCATTCGTCGGCCAAGGGACCAGCGACAGCCTGGCAGGCTAATAGCAAGTCTGCAATGTTGTCATACAAACTTTGCTTAGAAGTGCCAAACTCGGACAACTGGGGTGTCTGGAAGCTGTCGCCCAGGGGGGACAAGTCGGCAGACTCCACAGTATAAATCCAGGGTCGGAACGTATCAATGACCTTGCCCCCTGCCAGGCAAATATTGTTGCCGATGACCTCGTGTCGATATGGAGTGACGATGTTCTCAGGCGCAATAAGCGTCTTGTCGAGCTCGCGCAGGCTTGTTAATAGCATGCGCTTGAGATCATCCAGCCGCTCAAGCAATCTACCATCAAGAGCCGATGTCGGCTCAACAGCACCTTCGTCGTCCTCGAGGAAATTTGACGTTATAGGGTCGCGAGGTCCAAGACCGTTGTTTTGCCAGCTTCCACCCGCAGTACTCCCAATCACAAAACCAGGAAAAAGTCTTGGAATCTCTTCGCCGCGCTGCTGTCGCGCTACCTCGACGTAGCTAAATACGCCAAGAAGAACTCCGTCCGCTTCCTGGAGACACTTTTGGACCGATTCGGCATTTGGCCAGTCTGCAGCGGCAATATGCGACGAGATGACGAGCTTGGAGAACTTGGACATCATATCGCGGAAGTGAGGGTAGAGCGCCTTGTTTGTGGAAATGATGGACGGCTGCCCAGAGTGGTTGTCAGTGGTGCCGGAGCCAGCAGCGAGCAGCAGTCGCAGGTGGTCTGAAATGTCTTCGGCCCGTGCTACATATTCCGAGCGGTTGTTTGCGGTGATGGCGTCTCGGTAACGGTCAATCGCACGCTTCATGTTGGAGACCAGCAAACTCCAGCTGAGCGCGGGTGTCGACCCATCATCGAAAAACGATCGCGGAACGGTTGTCGTGGTGGGCAGGTTGTATGTTGTGCTAGTAAAGGAAGTGGCAGAGGCGATATTCGGCGGTTGAAGGGGGCCATTTGAGAAGCCATTGGCAGCGCTGTCGTTTCTTCTTCTCCGATTTGGCGAAGTGCCGTTGATGGAGTCCATGGAGGTGGACGGTGAGAGGGCGCCGAGGGCCCCGCTCAACGGGATTCGTTGACGGTTCTATTGCGATTAGCGGGCGCAAAGCATAATGGGCAAGAGTACATACCGGCCGCCGCGATGCAAATATGCCGTCGCCCTCAGCTTCTGAAGCTGATGTTGTTGAGTCGTCGTCTTCATCCTGGTTGAGACCCCTGGCCATCATCTCGGCAGGGGGTCGCGTCTTGTCGGGCATGGACGCGTTCATGCGATCTCTGGGCCCAGTTTCATTGATTGAGCCGGGAGATTCTAGCGGCAACTCCATGCTGCGATCGCCCGTCATCATGTTGTAGTAAAACAGTCGGCCGTCGGGGGTGGCCTGAGGGATCCAAAAGTCGGCTCTCGACTTGTCGCCGACGTCTGTCCCCTCGAGCGGCAAGGCACCAGGCGCGTCGCCTTCGGATTCATAGTCTTGTTGTTCGAAGCTCTCGTCGTAGACGTCAGCATCTTCGCGCTGCTCGTCGCCGTGGTCGAGACGGCCGTTCTGGTTCTGGTCGACGAGGTCCTCGGGGCCGGTAATGATCTGACAGTAGTTGCTAGGGAACCAACCGCGGACACCGTTGATGACACCATCCCACCAGCCACTTTCAAGCTGGGTGATGACTTGAATGACGTCTCCTTCGTGGAAACTCAAGCTAGTTCTGTCGTCGGCTTCGTAGTCGTACAGGGCACGGACATACATTATGCCAGGCGGCGTGGCGCCAACAGAGCCGTCCATGATGCCGAGGGCTGGTGTTTATCGGTAGTTGGCGTGTGAAATATTTGTATCACTTGATGTTGACGAGTAACAACGCGTCCACAAACGCGGGGACAATGAAAGAGAAACGGTGGCCGTTGGGGGTTTGAAGGAGGTTATCGCAGATGGAGCCGCACGGCAGCTCTCGTGCCCGCTGCGGATTTTATTGAGGTACAAGGTGAAGACGAGATGCCCATGTCATTGTCGCGAGAGCATGCAGGCGAGAAGCGGTTGGTCGAGAGCGTGCGTGGTTGCAGCGAGGCTGTAGAGAGTTGATCCGGAGAGGAGGAGTGTGTGCCCCTCTTGGTCAATATTTGGCTGGCGTTTTTCGCGCAGGCGTGGCTCGAGCGGGCAAGATGGCAAATGCGGACGCTAAAATTCGAGGCCAAATTCGATGAAACGAGGGCGCGCGATGGTTGAGTACCAATGAATGGCGAGGAAATATGAAAAGATCGCAAGTTGGAGGGGGCTGAGTGTTTCCTGAGGCCGGGAGAGGGGTGGTGGCCGTGCGACTTGGTTTGGCTGGACTTTGACTCCTGCTACAACGACTCTTGCGTAGGTAGGTAGGTTGGTAGGTTTGTACCTACCAAGTACCTTAGTACTAAGGTATGGCTGACAACGGTCGGCGTGAGTGTTGGCGGTGTGTTGTGGGGAGGGGCTTCAGTACCTAAGGAGAGGAGGGGGTTCGCTAGCAGGGTTTTTCCTTTCGCGGGGACGGACGAGGAACGAGTAGATGGGGAAAGGAAAACGCAACGTCGAGGGTTGATGGCCGATCTATGAGGGCCTCGGGTCTATGAATGATTTGGGGGGTTGGTGCAGCTGGCTTTGTTAAATTTGGGGTGCTTCTCTCGTTGCAAATGATGAGGTGTCGATGCCGCGGCAAGACAGAATGACTGATTGAGTCGTGGCCTGGTGAGACAGGTACAAGTACAACCATGGTCGTGGCAAGTTGTTCAGTGTCAGTGGTATCTTATACTAACTAACGTTAGAGCGACCGACCAGCAGTTGGACCCCGACCTACACACTGAGAACTACCTACCTCATACCTACCTAGGTAGTATGTACCGACCATTTACTAAATTACATATTCTCCATCTCGGCACATCTGCCATCAACGTTACAATGCATCTTCTACAAGCCACATTCTAGACTGACTGGTAATATTGAGCTCAGACGGGCCACCTGTAAATCCATCACTGCCGTCTCCTGCATGGTGGCAGCGGTTCGGCATCACAACCGTCGTTCCCGTTCCCGCATCATCAATAACCTTGTGCAGCGCATCAGACATGCGCACATATGCAGACTACATACCTACCTAGCCACTGCATTACCACATCTTACTGATACACTCGCCGCCTCTCACCCTACACCTGTGTGGCCTTGTTACTCTCTACTATTATGTACTCCAATCAGTCGTGCCTGTTTCCACGCTGGGCTGCAGACTGCAGTACACATGATTCTCGATGCGCGCCAGTTCGTCCAGAGCAAAGTTCGGGCAGTGCGACGGTCGGGCTCCTCTGTTTGCCTTGGGCGCATTCGGTATTCGAGTAGGAGGCAGTGTAGCAGCAGCACAGGCCCTCAAAGCATCAGCACCCAAACCCAACTCCAACTAGTAGTTACCGTGCCCGCATCACAAGTAGTCTTTATTACCGTTATGTGTTAGTTAGTTCAATGGGAATGGCTTGCTGGTCACGGTTCCTCCGCAGTTCGCGGCACGTGTTTCTCATGCATTGCGGTCCGCTCGCATCCCAAATGGTCAACCGAGGCGGCGTTGGACCGACCCCCAAGCCCAAGCGGCCCGATATGACATCGCGCGGCGATCTTCTTGTCTTTTTTTGGTTTCTTTTTTTCAAAGTAGTTTATACGTACTTCTTTGCAATGAGTTTCTAGTCCGAAACAGCCATACACGGCACAAGAATAGAAAGCAAGAATTGAAAGACAGACGGAGACAAGTCTCGCCAAGGGAATTGCAACAGAGGGTCAAACGCAAAGTTATTAGTCGGCGATGCGCTCTGACAGTCAGATTTTGCAAGCGAGCGACTCATATGCAAAGAAGAAACGACGCAAATCCCTGTGCCTGTGCCCCTTGCACCCGTTGATAGACAAGATCAACCAAGCGCAAAAAACTTTGAAAACGCCATAGTTACAGCACAGGCATAGCCACGTTTTTCACCATCATGTTAGCCTTTACCCTTGTTCACACTTCACTATAACGCCTACTTGCTCACATCATCAAACTTTCCCGTTCATTCGTCAACCCAATAGTCTTTTTTTTTGTATTAAGTTGTATCTAGGCTCTGTGTCTTACAATCTTCTAATCTCACACCATGACCAGCCAATGACAATGCCAGATGGACCACGCAAATACGTGACAAGAGCAAGCATCTTGTTGAAGAAGAAAAACCTAAGTTAGTTACGCAGGTTTCCAGGGCCAAGAAAGGCGGCGTTGTTTTCTCAATCAATACAAAGGGGGGGAACTAGGCAAGATCCGGCGTTTCGTCGCTCAAAGTGCCGTCATTCTCTCTCTGGCTGCGAATTCAAGAAAAGGAAAAAGCATGATGAGTCAAATTACCGAAATGGATATGAAAGCTTTAGCTTTCGACTTTTCTAGATGACCTTGACTCTGGATCACCCCATTTGAGACCGCCAGTCTCATCGCGGCAACCGGCTTTTTGCAACACCATCGCAGCAGCCCATCGCGAGAAAACGAAGACCGAAAAACAGGACCCGTGGGGCGGCGGCGCAATCCTTGAACCCCGACAGCTCTAAAAACTAACCTGCCAACTAGCTGCTCGGAAGGCTCCCGCGGTATCCGCTAGATTCATGCTCCCCGGTTGTCGTTGTGGGAAGGGTGTATTTGTAGGAATACATCGAGAACCTCTGTCCAAATTTGCTCTGCCCTCGAAGAGCAGGCCCGTGATGCTGCCAGAATCCTGATTATTTGGTCCCGAATGAAGTCACAAAAGTGGGAGCACACGGTGATTACCGATTTTACGGTGGCGCAATATGCAACATGCTCCAAAAGCTCGCTCTGCGCTGTTGTTTGCCCCTTGCTCGCGCCTCATCATTTAACCCACCACAGTCCTCGGTACCGTTGTTGGCTACCGGAAGTCGGAAGAGGGCTTCGATTTTGACAAAGATCACGGATGCTCTGTTGCATTGTGCTGACCGCCTCCAGAGGCGTTGAGAGCGCCTTGTCGATGCAAACATGTAGTTACATAGGGTAACTAACAGCTGGAGCTATTCATCCTTATATTATTACCGTCCAGGGGAGCCCACTCTCCGCTCCGGTGGGGATGACGCCTCGTGTCTTTTCTCCTTGACTAGCATCAAAGAAGCATTTGCAGCAACAGCTTACAAAGGGCCACCACCCAAAAGACTTGCTTGGTCGCCCAGCCAGCCGGGTACGCCGCACGAAAAACCACCGCTTCCCGACCCCACCGCCCTGGGCTGAATCCATCCAACCATCGCCAGGCTGAGGGTGTACATACATACGTGTTGTACCAGTACTGTACGGACAAACTTGCTGCACTGTCCTTTGGGCACGTTGGCATGGTGGGCGAATGATGCATGCGTTGGCAATTCGAGGTCTCGTGATGCATCGTCCGGCGACTATGCGCATGCGGGCAGTTGTGGACGAGTGCTTGCGTGTACGTGTCGTGCCTGGGGAATTCAACCGCGATTTCGGGCTTTGCGGCCTGTCCGTGACAACTGACGAGTGTCTCGGCAGCAGCTTGGGTCACCGAGAATTGCTCAGGAGCGAAGAAATGGGGGTGGGGTGTGTGCGCCTTGTCGCGTCCAAAATGTGTGTGCTCATGAATTTCGCGATTGTCGCTCGATAGTTACCGCTTGCGTGGACGCGGAAGCCTCGGGGTTTGGGATAGCTCACCGCATGGCCGTTATTAATAATACAGAGGACGAAACTAAGTAATGGGCCGCTTGCCCGCCTCTTGAACGCGTCCAGGTCCATCCCGGATAATTGAGGCGCGCGTGGCGGAGCCGCGAGATGTTCCTCAGAGGTCGTGTGTGCGATCGGCCTATGGAATACTTTCACTCGCAAAGTTAAAGTGATGTCAATTTTTGGTTTGTGAAGTCATTGGATATGTTGCTTTTACTCACCTGCTTGTAAGTATAATTGCGCACTCGTGCGCGTTTCAACGACACCAGCGCGCTTGCGCTGTCAGCGCTTGTAGAGCTGACACCAGCAAGCCGGCAAGTAACGAAGTATTTCTTTCTCTGCATATTTCGAGAATGAAATTTGTAATTAAAAGCCAGGGGCAAACTTGGCGACTTCACAATGACGAAAATAGTATTTCGCAAGGAGAGGTCATGATGACTCGCACCAAGGCTCATTGTTCAAGGGACGGTCCGAGCATCTGGCTATGACATTAAGGAGGCTCGGCTGGATAATTTTAGTACAACTTTTATTCACAGTTTGCAGAATGATAATACATGACTGGTATCCCCCGCTAGTTGGGGAGGGTGTAATAATATGGAAAAGGAAAGCTGGCGGCCCCCCTTTGGCTGGCCGTCCCACTCGACCGTCCCTTCTGGGAATCCTGCGAAATTAGGTGCACGTTGTTACGGATACGGAGTACAGTATCTACCTAATAGCGGCGAGACCGTGTTACAGAAACCAGAATAGTGGCTGTCCGTGGTGGCACAAGCAGCGAGCCGTGTGAAACGCCTGCGGCGCGACTTCGTGGACGAACAGCTCTAGGACATTGGGTTAGGCCCTCTTTAGGGTATGTCAGCGGTTTGGATCCCGTCTTAGCCGATGGACCATCGTCAACACCGATGATAACTAGCAGGTGCGTCACGTTGTTGCTAAAAGTCCGGAGCTGTTGAGTCGCTCCTGCAAGAGCCCAGCAACGCAGCCCGAACCCGCCGTTCGGCCTTGATTCTTGACCGATTTTTGCTATTTTCCCAAGAAATGAAGCGGTCAACACGAAACCCGCTGCCAGATCACAGACGAGAATCCAGTGCTGTACCTACATACATTGCTTGGGCGGCCAGCTGGGCAAGCTTCAGAGGGCGCGGCGCTGGATACCGCTATAGAATGCCCCGCTGCCAGTGGATCTTATATGCACAGCGGCCGTGTCGACACCTGTCGAACCACTGAATTGGGGATTGGTACCGAATGTAACCGTGTGTACAAATCGTAGCGTGTAACGAGGTACGTAGGCAGTTATTACTAGGTATGTACAGTAACTAGTTACTGTCAGTGTCTTGGGAGACCATTTTCCATGGACCATGACGAGCTGGCCTTTCTGTTCCAGGGGGTTGCTTATTCGGCCCAGGCGCCGCCAGCATGCCGACGGGCAACCGCCCACCCACGAGGCCCTGCCGTGAAATTGACAGGAGCTTGCAAGGCGGTGACGAAGAATAACATGAAAAGCTTGATATGCTGCACGAAAGCCTCTAGCGAGATGCAAGCCGCAGACAGGGCACAGGGGTTGTTTTCTGGGTTACCGTGTTCTCTGCAGTGACCGCTGCACATCTTGACGATGGGCTTAGGCGAAAATCGTGATTTCGACATGATTCCACAAGAATGGTGCTGGGAATACGGACAGACGGTGTTTCCCCTTATTATTAGGTTGCTACTGATGCTGGCCGGAGAGGCCTGAGAGGGGTGATGGGTGTGATTAGCAGCACCAGCCACCTTCCCCCTCTTCCCCTCATCCCCTCCTCGTAATAATTTCTGGCCGCTTTTAGCCCAAGGCAAGAGACTGCTGTCGGCTGCCTAGAGAAGAGGTCAGCGGAAGCCAACAGAATTCGTACACATGCAGCAGACAGCGTAACTTAGCGGGCCAACGAAGTGAAGGGAGAGGCGGCGGCATTCAGAGAGGGGGGCGCTCGTACCACTGAGTTGAGAGGAGAAGGAGAGTAATAAAAACTGCGTAGTCATTCGATGCGCAGATGCCTGCTAGGCGGCGAGCTAGCATGCTACCCGAACTTGTGGTGTGGCGCCGACAATCACCACTCGCCAAGTTTGTCATGGACAGCGGGAAGAGGACGAGAGCGGACCACTGACAGACAGACAGATAGTTAGACTGACAGACTGGCAACTCGACAGCGAGAGCCCAAGAGGGAACGAGGGGAGGGGCCCACGGGGGAGGACAGCCCAGTCAGGAAAGCGCAGACCGGCCAGGTGTGAGTGGGGTATGGAGCCTCTTACTCCGTACTGGTACGGATACCCGTGGCACTGTCTTTTCCGTGCCAGAGTCGACACTCTTGCTTACCTATTGGCTTATTGGCACCTCACACACCAGGACGGGCCGGCGCCGCCCCCTCGTTTTTCGCCCGCTGACTGCCCCGCCCACATCCAGCGAGCCACAACTTCGCAGAAGTCTCTGCACAACGTCGACCAGTGCCCAAATTATCACTGTATTTCTGTACCAGGTTCCTGGCAGTACTAGGTACCTAGTACTCCTTATCCATGGTAATTGGCACCGAAATCTACCGTAGGACTCAATCCTCCTCCAACTTGTTCCTACGAGCGACACCTTCGCGACCCTTAAAGCACTTGAAAGAATGCGTGTGATAGAAACAAGCCCGGATAGATAGGTGGTCTAGATCAAAAGGTTATAAATAAATAAGAAAGATACGAAGAATAGTATATTCCTAATTGGCGATTTATCTTGGTCCCACGCGGTCCTCAGTCCACTGTACGGAGTATCAATTATTTCTGTTCGTTTTTTTTGCTGCGACGCTAGAGACAACATGTACCCCGACAAGTACACCCTGATGTGCTTCTGCGTGGCTCGCGCCAGGCCAGCAGTACCTCCTCTCAACGCGCATTTCGTCCGTCCGATGCGGAGCCTGCCATGTACTGCATGCCTGACAGGCCCCCGGTGGACCGCAAAACTGCCCAAGACAGGCCCCCGGTATGGAGGGGTAGGTACCTCCAGACGGACGCTCCGGTACCTAGGTACCTGTGCCTGTGCCACCCACACCAGATCGATCATCACAAACTGAACCAGCTTAGCAGGCCCGTCAGCGCACCATCATCCCTCCTTCAGCGGTCTCTGATTTCCGTTATTAGTGACCTTTTCCACCATCTCCCAGTGGCCTAACGGCACCACAGTAACTGTGGTGGCCCCCGCTCCTCATCCTCCCTCTCTCCGTGCTGTTGCCCCCTCGTCCTCCCTCTGTCTTTTTTTGCTGCGCGCGCCGCGATTCCCCCCGCCCGCTACCTCGTCTCTCGCCTTTTTTCCCAAGCCTCTTGGCCCCCCGCCTAGTCGCTGGCTTCCCCCCGTTTGTGTCTCCCCTCCCCCCCTCAAACTTGCTACTACTTCTCCTCTGCTGCTCCTCCATCTCCTCCATCCTCCCTCCCACCTCATCAACCAACTCAACTCATCACCACCGTATTTCGCATCCCTACGCGTTTGCCTCCTCGACCAGGCTTCCGCCTCTTCTTTCCTCAGAGGCCTTTTTGTCGCCTCACACCTCAGACCCCGAATATACCCAAATCACATAGCACTTCCATGACCAGAATATCTTCCTCCCAAATGACCAGTTCTACGATCCAGACCACCGTTGTCACACTTTAAACCCCACGGGAGCGCGCGCGCGAGCGAGGCTAGGAGTTGATAGCCCAACACGCATCCAGACGATATTCAACCATCGTTCTGCAAGTCCTCGAATTTTTCCAGCCCTCGCAGACAGTGTTTTCTTCGACAACCTCACACACTGCTGATTCCACCCTCACCACCAACACCTACTCGATACCGATTCCGACACGCATCGCCTACTATGCCTGGAGCAAGTGTTGGTGATTTGCCGCCCCAGGCGGCGTCAACATCGTCCCGAAAGACTTCTCTCGCGCCTGAACGCAAATATAAATGCCAGTTCTGCAACCGAGCCTTTAGCAGAAGTGAACACAGAAGTCGACACGAGCGATCACGTACGTCAATTCCATCTTGTTTTCTCCTGCCCGCATCAATCTACTGCTTCGATGGCGGGACGAGGTAATCTTTGCCAAAGAAACCCGCCGAAAATCCAGCCTCTCGTCATCAATCCAGCCATTATCGGACCAGTCAAAAATTTCTGTACCAAGTTTTGATGCTGACTTTTTCTCTCTAGATACCAAAGAACGTCCCTTCAAATGCATGAAGTGTAGAAGCACCTTTGTTCGCCGCGACTTGCTTCTTCGTCATGACCGCACTGTTCACGCCAAAGACGGCGGTGTTCCCCTACATAGTGATGGAAAGCGACGTGCTGGCCCCAAGACCCGTGGTATTGATGGCACCCCCAAGGCCTCCCTCGCAGCTCTCGATGCCTCCACCCTGGAACAGATGGAAAGTGGCCCCGACGGCATCTTTGATGTCGAAGCCGCCGCCATGCTTGTTGCCGACCTGCACCACAAGGCCACCGCCGCCATGCGTGGCGACGACTCTGCCTACGATGACAACCAGTCCATGTCGTACTCGCCTCGCACCTCCGCTGCTATGGAGCCCGCAGTCACGTACCCGTCTGGTGCCATTGCCTTGCCTCAAGTCCAGTGGGAAAACTTTATGTCACAGCCCGGTGCGGATTGCAAGGCTAGTCCCATCACGCCTAGTGTTGCCGGATCCTTCGATTCACAGCGCTCTTTTGCCAGCGCTGTGACTCTGCAGCCTCATTCCAACCACCTGCCTCCCATCGGCGGCCAAAATCCTCACGGTTTCGTCCCTGCTATTCAGTCCATGCTGAGATCTGCCTCCCATTCCGACGCTGGCACGCCCATGAGCCCTACCTTTGACTCGTCCCAAGCTGGCTTCAGGGCCCCTCAGTTTGCTGGTGCCGATGAGCGCAACACTCTCCTCGACATCATTCGGAGTCATGATCGCGAAAGCGCCATCCCCGAGGGCTTCCGCCTGCCTGGTCTTGGCTCACTGAACCGCTACCTCTCGACATACTTTGGTCTGTTCCACCACCACCTACCTTTGCTGCATCCTTCTTCGTTCAACCCCACCCAAGTTTCGCCTCCTTTACTCCTTGCCGTCCTGAGTATCGGAGCCCTCTACGCCTTTGACCAAGACCAAGCCTATATGCTACACATTGGCTCCAAGGTGCTCGTCAACCAGTTTCTGCAAAACAAGGAAAACTTCAGCTCTCGCAAGTGTCCGCTCTGGACCATGCAGAGTTCATTGTTGAACATGATCTTTGCTAGTTGGAGCGGTGATCCCAAGGGACTTGAATGGGCGTGCTCGATCAAGAGTCTGCTCGCCAACATGGTTTCCGGTAATCGCTATGAGCTCAAGCTGCGTCAAGAGGCCCGCGGCAATAGCAAACCCACGCGCGCTGAATGGGTCGAGGATGAAGGCTGTCGCCGCACGTACTACGCAGTCTACATCTTCTTCGGTCTCTTGACACTAACGTATAATCATACTCCTGCAATCGGCTTCAACGAGCTCGAAGATCTTCAACTGCCGTCTACTGAAGCTCTCTGGAACGCCCAAGCCAACGATGAGAGCGCTTGGGAAGATCATACCAAGGGTGCTCCTGCCCTAACGTTCCTCGAGGCCCACGATAATCTCTTCCAGGGCGAGACTTTGCAATACAGCGCCTTTGCCACTCGTGTCATGATCAACGCTTTGTTTTTGGAGGTTTGGTACCACAAGCGAAGCCCCGAAGCACTGCAGGACGTTGTCACCGAGTACAAGCTGCGTTTGGCCCTCGAAACCTGGGACAAGTCTCTGGAACGCTGCGAGCCTGAAGCCGTTAGCGTTCCCCTCAGCGCTCCTCACAAGAGTCATCCGTTGATATTCAACGCCAAGGCTATGTACAGAAACGCACGTGCTCGCCTCGAGGTCGACCTGAAAGCAGTCCAAGAAGCGCTTCGCTATCACGATCCTTATGAAGTTGGTGCTGCCATGTCTCACGCCCGCGATCGCGTAAAGCGATCGAGCGAGATGATCAAGGTTATCGAGGAATGCTACAGCTGCATCGAAACGGCCGTCCTGCAGGGCGTTCGATGGGTTGCCCGCACCTCACCCACAAATTGGAGCGTAGAGCATCCGTTGTGTGGGCTTGACCTCATGATCATTCTTTCGCTTTGGCTCTATCGTCTGGAACACGACGACGAGCAAGCGACGCCGGAAGAACTGGCGATGTACAACAAAGTAAGACAACTCTTTGTCAAGGACTTGGATGAGGCATACATGTCTCACCTCGGCTCAGTTGTCGCTCGCCTCTGGGGCTCCATGCTCGACGAAGTTGTCGTCTGGGGAATCACCCGTCTTATGGGGGAATCCTTCAAACTGCACTCCCAAGCGCTTGTCGGCTACGTCGACGATCGCGAAGCTGCTTCCTCAAACGTCTCGACTCCTTCGATGATCTCTCAAGGAGCGGACGAGGATAGCGTGTACTAAAATTGCGATGATTGAATGATTTTCCTTTTGTTTTCATTGAGGGTTTCGCCCCGTTTCCTTTTGCATATACCTCTGAGCTCTTTTCCTACTTTTCCTATCCGCCTTCGTCATCAGGCTAATCATTTCGGTTTCGGCGTCTACTTTTCGAACTTTCGACTGGGGATGGAGTCGGTCTGCTTACTCTTTGTCGTTTTTGTTGCCTTCATCTCCTTTCCTTGGAAATCCTTACTGGTCTCATCTCCGTTACTATTGTCGCGACGCCTGAGGCAGAGCAGGCAATACGTCGTTTGCTTAAATTGGACCTTTTCTTTTGTCAACAAGTTTTGATGGTTTCTTGGGGCACGTAATATTGTGGGACTACAGGTACACTGGACTACGAACGGGGAAGGTTTGAAATGATATACCGGAGCACGCAGAGGAAAATGGCATCCTGACTACTAATTTCTGCCGAGGCAGCAGACTGATTGGCTGGTCCATGATGGGAATGCCGACTAAATTCCTCTCTTGTTCTACTACCTGTTAGCTTTTGGTTTAGCCTTTTTCTTTTGGTTTTGCCAGCTGCCTGTTGCGTGCCAAATTGCGGCTATTTGCGTTTCTATTTGTGTTTTCATTTCCTTGATTACATTTTCGGCTCATTTGCTGCGCTTGCTTTTTACTGTCATATTACTCTCCTTGTGCAAGTTTGCTAGCATGCTCTGACGTTTTTTTTCTTTCTTTTCATTTTTCTGCTTTTGGATATTTCTCATCATCTTTCCTTTGCCCTGGTTGTGTCAACGGGCTTGAACAACGTGAGAGCCATGGAAGCTGCCTCAATATTGAGTCCTGCCTCTCCTGGCTCGATTCCTGTTGGAATCGACTGAGCCCGTTGCTCGTGTATAGATATTAGTACGTACTACATGAAATTCATAATTCCCGTCTCTGTCAAAATTGTTTCTTTTCGACTGTAATAGTGTGGGTGGTGCGGATAGCCACTCGCTCCTGTTGCGGAGGGGATGGTCCGTGTGTATGTGACACAGCAGCACATAAATGCAGGTCCGCACCTGCCTTTGTGCTGCGCGCTGCAGGAGAGTTGGGCTGGCGGTGGGATTGCAAGACGTTTCTTCTTCTCTTCATCTGCATTTTGCCTCGCGACAACACATGAGACGACTAACACGGTGTCTCGCGCATCACCATCAATCACCACCAATCACAATCCCATATTGACCGCACTGCAGGGTGCGAGAAGGAATAATGCGGCAGCGTCCTGGGAACGTCGGACTGCAAGTCTCAGTCGTTTTGTTTGTCCTTTTCTGGGCCTGCCGAGTATCGGCAACGGGATGCACGTGCGGCTACCAAGTCGGCGGCGCAACCGACGAAACCTGGCTCTTCACTGAGGCCATCGAAACGGATTTTACAAGGCTGAAAACCATCGCTGCTGCCAAGGACTGGCAGCGTCAAGAGTTCAATGTATCTGCAGAAGCTGGGCGCGGCAAATACTCCAAATTCTTCACGCCGAAAAATGTCGCTCTTGGCGTGGCAAACAAGGGCGACTCGGGGAAACAGGCGGGCGTGGAGCTGTCCGTTGGTGCCACAATCGTCGACGGTGCGGTTCCTGTTGCGGAGATGGATACTGCTCGTCACGATCTCCAATGGGGCTCTTTTAGAGCAGGCATAAAGATGACGTCTATAAGTGGCACATGTGCAGCCTTCTTCTGGGTATGTAACATCCTGATGCCACCCAAGTGGCTGCTTCGACGAATCTGACACCTGGTGACGACTAGTATTTCAACGACACGCAGGAGATTGACATGGAATTCCTGTCTATGGGATATCATCGGGAGAACAGCACATACCCTGTCAATCTTGTGATACAGTCCAGTGACTCGGCTGCCAGAGGCTATGATGCTAGCGGCACTCCGACATACAAGACTGTAGACCTCGGCTTCGATCCTTCAGCGGACTTTCACGAATACCGCTTCGACTACTTGCCAGGTAAAGTATATTTTTATGCAGACAGCAAGTTATTGGCACAGATGGAGGGCGCGCAGATGCCTGACAGCGCCGGGCATCTTATTCTCCAACACTGGAGCAACGGCAACGCAAAGTGGTCGGGAGGGCCGCCGAAAGAGGACGCTGCCATAGTTGTCAGCTACGTCAAGGCATACTTCAACTCGTCAGACGCCATGAGAGAGAGTGCTTGGAAGACTGGCTGCAATTCGTCGCGAGTTGACGCGTGTTTGGTCCTCAACGGGACCTCCGAGAATGCGACGGATGGTGGGCAGTTTCTCAACCCAAATCACACGCAGGAAAATGGCGATGAAGGTTTGACGGCTGCCAGAATGCCCAAATTGCCTAGCCTAGGCTCTGTACTAGTGCTGTTGATGTGGCTGGACTTGCTATGGGGTGATTAAACGTGCACGCGCTGTGGGAATGTCTCGCATGCGCGCAATGTGTGTGTGTCTGTTGAGACTTGCTAAGGTTAACACGAGGGAGACTAGGTAGCCTCGGGGAGTATGTATTCAAGGTAATGATGTGCTAATGCTAAAATTAATAGACCGAGTTGAAGATGAGATGGTGTGTGTCAGGTGATATGGGACGGATAGGCTGCGACGCTGTGATCATCTGATGCGACGTGACTTCATTCTGAAAGCGGCATCATTTCTATGAAACAGCAATAATGTGACTCGAGCAAGCTTCAGACGATGCCCCGCATAAGCTTTTCCGAGGGCGAGCAAGGCGAGCCAACGGAGACGAGATGACGGCTACAAGGGCGGAGCATGTGGATATGAGGCACGGGAGCGATCGACAATGATGAGGCTCCTCGAGTATCGCACGCAGGCGACAACTGTTCAGCTGGTCGCTCCTTCAGGGCACCAGAGAACACAACTGATGGGATAAATTTCCCGGGCTGTCGCTCCATGTTTCTATATAAAGCACGTGGATGCGGCCGAAGCTGTACGAAGTAGTCTTGATCCATCTCATCTCATCATACTTTGTACCAAACCCACATTCGTCCCCGCCAAGAGGACTTACATTGGGTGTTAGCTCTATCTCTCGAGATCAAGAACCAAGCCATCATTTATCGCGCATCCTATTCCATTCGCCGTATCCTGCCGCTTTTTCCGACCTCAAGACACGCATTCCTCCAGACACTGGATCGCGCGCGGCCTCAAAGCAAAACCAACCAACACGGTAGAGCAACACCACTCACTCACCATGTCCGGCACCTTGCAAGTTGTGGTGCGCAATAACACCAACACGAGTGCGCTGTACGCGCACATCACCGGCACCTCGGACGCCGGGCTCTTTATCCTGTCGTCCGACGGGCAGACGGCGTACCACCCGGCCAGCCCGACGCAGACGCTGTCGCCGCTCGGCGCCGACTGCGCCATCAATGTCGGCGGCACGGGGCAGACGCGGACGCTGACAATCCCCTACGTTTCTGGCGGCCGCATCTGGTTCTCCAAGGACAAGCCGCTCACGTTTTTCGTGAACCCGGGCCCCGCGCTCGTCGAGCCGTCGGCGCTCAACATGAGTGATGCCAACTACAACCTCGACTGGGGCTTTGCCGAGTTTACGTTTAACCGCAGCGAGCTCTACGTCAACGTGTCCTTTGTGGACTTTGTCAGTCTGCCCGTGTCGCTGCGCCTGGAGAATGCGAGCGGCAAGGTGACGAGCGTCGCGGGTATGCCCAGTGACGGCCTGGACAGGGTCTGCGCCGGGCTGACGGCGCAGGGCCAGCTGGACGGCGCCGGCTGGGACAAGCTCGTCGTGCGCTCGGCGGCCGGCCAGCTGCTCCGCGCGCTCAGCCCCAACTCGGGCGCCGTCATGGTGCCGGGCCTGCTACAGGGCTACTACGCCCAGTACGTCGACGCCGTGTGGGCCAAGTACGCGGCCGAGGACCTCACGGTCAACACGCAGTTCAAATGGGGCGACGCCAAGGGCCGCGTCAACGCGGCCGGGCTGCTCGACTTCGGCGGCGATGCCGGCCAGTTTGGCAAGCCCTCGGCGGTCGACATTTTCTCGTGCAACTCGGGCCCGTTTGCGCACTTCAGCGGCGTCACCGACGAGGCGCTCAACATTGGCGCGCGTCTCGCGGCCGCGCTCAACCGCTCGACGCTGCTCATCAACAGCAACCAGCCCGAGGGCGAGGACGTGGCCAAGTACTACCAAGACCCCATCACCAATCACTACGCGCGCATCTGCCACGCCACCTCGATCGAGGGTCGTGGCTACGCTTTCCCGTACGACGACGTCGGCGCGTCCAAGGGCGTGGACCAGTCAGGCTTTCTCAACGACCCCAATCCCAAGACGCTGACCATTGGCATCGGCGCGCCGCTTGAGTAGTGAGGGCAGGGAATATCGCTGCGTGATCCCGTCGTCTCTGACGTACAAAGAAGAAGAAACGGCACGCATGCGATGAGTGGGCCGGCATGCATGCTCCTATCCCTGGATGCTCAGGTTGCGACGATCGACCCGGAGCTGAACTCGGATGGGACGCACGACGTCAGCCGCAAGGCGCGGGCTCGGGATGTAGTCCGCTCATTTCTCATCCTGGATGCCTGTCGCTTCACCGTTGCCTTTTTCATCTGTTATTGCCGCTGATTTAGATTTCTCCCTTTTCTGGCAAGGCTGGTGGCTTGTTCTTGATATGGCCGATGTATGCCAACAATACCACTCCTTTTCTAGTATTTGTTTCCTTGTTTGCTGTTTCTTTCACAGAGGATATAGAAGTATATATAATAAATAGCTGTATATAGTGTATATGAACCCAACCCACGTCTCTCTTTACTCTGCATTTCATTTCTCCTTGTTTTTCCATGGGCCTCATGTAGTATGCATGTCAGCCCTACAGCCCATACATGCACTTGCAGAACGCCTCAAAATATTTCAGCCCGCAAGTTTTGCAATCTGCGAAGCGTCGGATTCGGGCCGTTCGCCCCCCTAGGCGGCGCACGCTGAGCAGCTTTGAGACTGTATACGACCAGGCAAAACGATTGATTGCCCGAACTTGGTTCAAAAAAAAAAATACACATCTGCGGGCTCAGCCGAGGCCAAACCGAATCAGAGCCTAGTCCGGAACAAGTCATTCATTCCTTGGGTAGGCATCAAGGGCTGAACCAGCCAAAAAGGTGATGCTGCGTATCGTAAAGGCGGTGGGATATCGGCCCGTGTCGCCCAGTAAGACAACGACTCTGAGCGCCGTGAAAGCGCCGTGGCACGCGACGAGGCTTGGTTTTGCCCAATGGAAAGGAGCGGTAAGCAATTTGAGAGGTGAATAACGCAAGAATCAGTGCGCGCTACCTTGGGATGGGTAGAAGGCCTGCGGCGGTGGCTACAAGATTTGATGTAACTAGCCGGTATGTCCATAAGAGATTCTCTCCAAGAACTGCGGTCCTATTTGTCTGATGCGCCGTTGTCTGAGTATCCTGATGAGTTCAAACTCTTTCGACGCGTCATAACTGTAAGGATCTCCTGCCAGTAGTTATGGCCCAACGACGGAGGGGAGACCGCAGACTGGAAAGGAGGGCAGTGCGGCTGCGCTTTCAGCTGTTGTATGCAAAAGTACAATTCGGGTATCGCACTGGCTCTCGGACGTGGCACGACGCGGAGTCTCTGTCTGGAGTCGTAAAACGGATCCGCCGGGGCCCGAGCCGGAGATGAAAATCTGCTAGGTAGGAAACCGGGGGGTCTTTGCGCCTCCTTTCGCGGTGGATTGGTCGCTTTCCTTCTTCCGGCAATAAAGCCCGCAGGCAGCAGCAAAGCACCTCTTTGTTCCTTATTAGCATGACTTAGTTATGTACTAGCGGACGTCGTAGTTTGTGATTGTAACGGACATGGCTGTCGGCAATGGCAGTGGGGAGACGAGCGAATTCCTAGGTAGTTAATGAGGAGAAGAGAACGCCATGACTTTGTTCTGTCCTCGGCGGCGATGGGTGAATCTTTGGGCCAGCATGTGCCATTCCGCCGCCACTCCAGCTCCATCATGTATCACTGCTTACGGCGATGCTGCCGCTATCAGCCTTAAGAAATGTCCAGTTTCAAAGCTTGAATGAACATATTGTAAGGCGACAGTAGCGTGGCATCCAGTTGCGTGAGGGAGAACGCGTGCGTCATTAGCGAGATAACTTGAGAGCTAACTAAATAAATGCGAAAGCTCTCTAGCCGATCGGACACGGCCGAGCGGGGTTGTGTTGTCGGTTTCACCTCGTGGGCATCGGCAGACTACAACGATAAACGAGGTGAGCAACCTCATTTGTGAGGCACTATTGTTTTGCGGCTACCGAGTTGGGTATTCTTCTTGGACTTGGCCTAGGCCTAATTTTCTGATCCATCGGGAAACGTTGCTGGAAGGAAAATGCTTGGGATGTTCTCCCGTTTGCACGGAGTCCGGAGTCGCAACAAGTTAGCCTGGTATGTACCAGTTATTAGTTAGCGTCCATCGAGGCACTTCTCCGCGGCTAGACGTAGAAGTGGCTCCACCCACACACAACTTCGAGCTGATGGCCACCTATAACGAACGACCAGCATAATGGTCACTGATGGTCAGATCGGTGGTGTCGAGTGATGGTGGAGGACATGACATGGTGGAGGGGGATTTCGCGTCGTCCCTGCAGAAGCGCAGTTTGGACGATGATGGGGCGGGCATCATGAGACGGTTGCAAACGCTGGTAACCCGCAACGGAGTACGACTTATTACTACACAGTCTATTATTGCTGGGTAGTTTGTCCCTGTCAGCTAACTAAGTACAGGTAGGTACAGGTAGGTTAGTAGCTTTCTGCAGCAGTGCCTGGTAGGTACACCTTTCGTCTTTGTATGAGCCTTGTGCGACGTGACGAGCTATAAGGAACCCTAAGGTGCTACAGGAAATCTTGTGTCGTGCCTGCAGTGGGCCGAGGCAGCTGCACAGCCCAGGCACAGCGGGGTTGTACAGGCTTTGCTTTGCTTTGATGCTCTGCTAGTAGTGGAGGACGACCCTGCGAAAAGCTGCCCACCTACCTAAATTAGCGTCACAGTTCACTGCAAAATCGTCCTTGCGAGGCGACATCCTTCCTTCAGCCTTGACCCTAATCAGTTAGGCATCTTCAGCGGACAGCCCAATGCTTTCAGTTGATTAATCACCCTAACTAGCCAATACTACAACTGCTGTACAATTTCGTATGGGGCTGGCCTGCTTTTTCTTTTACCTACAATGTGACGTTGGGAGGCTCTTGTCCTGCTCGTCCTGCTCCATCCATCGTCGTTCTCTTCTTAATGCCTTGTTGCCTACCTACCTACCTACACCCATATCCGTCTCGCATCTGTCGTCCTTGCCTATCGCTCGACCAGTCTCGAGGCTCCCACGCTTCTTTGTGTCGACTTACTAACTATACCCATCTTCGCCGTCAGGGCAGATTCGTCCCGTCTTGGCGCCAAAATTGCCCCATTCGTGGGCAACTGTAACCCCCGATCTCGACCTTATACACATCCACGCCCCTCCCCCTCCCCCTCCCTACAAGAAGAACTCACCCACCACAACTCCTGGACCTTGTGTTCGTGTTTTGGTGAGTTCGATGTCCTAGGACAAACTTGGGTTGATCCAGCTTGAATTTTTTGGTATTCTACCACCCTTTCTGGCTCTTGTCCTGTGCCGCATGCTCTACGACCAGTACTTGGCGCAACAACTTGCTGAGCGTAGCCACTGCCAGCCTACGCCATCCTACGCCTGCAAACACCGCGCCCCTCTCTATTGATTCTGAATGCTCTGACGAATCGAGACTACCAAACTATCTAGTCTCATTCCTAGCAATCTATGCAATGGTTTATTGCGGCAAACCCTCCAAGGGCTGCTCCAACTGCCGCAAGCGCAAAGTCAAGGTACGCAAATCTACGTGCAACCTGTGACAACTCTTGCCCAACTCTAGTCCTAACCGCGCCTGATTATTAGTGCGACCAAGGAGATCCTCATTGCGGCCAGTGTCAGAAAAGACAATTACAATGTCCCGGCTACCGTAACCTCGTCGACCTCATGTTTCGCGACGAGAGCGAGCATGTCATTGAAAAAGCCACCACATTTCGAAAAAGATCCGACGTTCGAAAGCAGTCGCCAAGTCCTGTATCACCTTGTAGCTCAGACGAATTCTCATCGCCCGCTCTATCAGCAGCACCATTCAGTTGGAAACAGGCACAGGCCGCATCCAAATTTCCGCCAAGCAAAGCCAGGCGGAAAAAGACCTGTGCTACCTCTACTCAAGGCTGGCTCTGCGAACAACAGCAAGAAATGGTACTGGCAAAGAACTCTCCCAAGAAAATTAACCCAGACCTATTCTTGCCGTGTGAGTCGGTAGACTCCTTCCACGAGCGAGGTATGGCTTTCTTCTTCTCCCGCCATGTCGCAAGAAACGACGTTGGATATCAGAGTTACGACTTCATTTACGATGTTTGGAAACCTCCCAGCAACCCCAGTCCCGAGAATCAAGATAGCATCGCTGCTGGCGTCGTTGCCATTGGTTTGGCCGGCCTCTCCAAAGTCACTCGCAATACTCGAATGATGGACATGGCCCGACGAAATTATGGCGCTGCCCTGAACCTGACTACCACTGCTTTGAGTGACAAGGATGAAGCCGTCAAGGATACCACGATGCTTTCTGTTCTTCTTCTGAGCACATATGAAGTTGTCTCCGGAAGCACGCCGCAGACTATGGAAGCCTGGCAAAAACATGTTGACGGCGCCGCTGCTCTTGCCACAATTCGAGGCACTGACCAGTTCAAGACGTCGGCCGGTTGTAAGATGTTCCAGATGCTGTGCTATAGTGTGCTTCTCAGCTGTATGCGATCTGATATCCCCGCACCGCCAGTCATTGAAGAGCTGCGCAATAAGTCTCTGGAAATGGGCAAGCTCGACAGGACAAACAGAAACCTCATCGACCACATGTTTAGAACAACAACAGTGCGACATCAGGTCAAGACGGGCATTATTACCGGTAGACATGATGTCATCTCCGCGCTTGCCAACTGCGACGCTGAATGGGCTCTCCTGGCCTCAGATATGCCGGACATTTGGAGGTATCGCAACATCAAACTGGCCGCTGCCACGCCGACCGCCATGCATCGCCACTGTCACGTTTATCCTGGTCTGATCGCTGCCATCACTTGGAACGGTATCAGGTCTACGCGAATGCTTCTACAGGAAGCCATTATCGAGCAGCTGTGCCACAATGCCGATGATGAGTCATGCTTGTCCAGCGCCGACCAGGAGCTGCTAATTGGCGCGATAAAGACGCACAACACCCTGACTGATGCCATAATTGCTAGTGTACCGCAGTTCTTTGGTACTATCCGGTGGGAAGATTATGCTTCGCGCGCCGGCGCAGACACGGATTCTGCGATCCTAGACATGCATCCTTCAAGCGCCCAAGGCTCCGAGACGGTCGTGACACCACAAGAGGAAGTGGCTGGCCGAAATGGGCAGTCTGTCGTCGCTGTACTACCGTCTCTCTTTGAGCAAAAAGACAAGCCAATAGGGGAGCCGTGGTACGACATGGAGCGCATCATGACCCTGGCGGCCTCGTGCACCTCGATTGTCTGGCCGCTGTACAACATTGGCATCTCGCCCAACTGCAGTCCCGAGAAGCGATCATATGTTCTCAACCGGCTCGTGGCAATTTATGAGGAGACGGGACTCGAGAACGCCCTCGAAGTAGCGGAGACGGTCCGACAGAAGATTCAAGATTATCCCACACAGAAATGCGCCAATGCAGCCACTGATGTCTTGAGCGACGCAATGCCTACTTCATCGGATATATGATGTACCAATCGACGCCATACGGCGAGATTCTATTATTATCCATCTCTGTTTTACATTCTTCTTTGAAAACCAGAAGGTGCTTTCTCTTTTTGCTTTGGGTATCGGCGTTGGTTATTAACTGGGTGGATGGCTCTAGCGATTGCAATTTCACACACGAGTATCAAGGCGCGGAATTTTCGGCAGGTGACGGGCAGAAAATAGAAGGCCTAATTTATAACAGTTAAACCGATATTTTTCAACTTCTTAGAACATGAGTTCCCTTGCTCTGTATTTGGCTGTTTCGTTGAATTCTGAATTTCTATCGTCTCGTTTTGGTATAATCTCGGAACGCCTTTTCGTTGCCCTTGTACTCATTTCATCCAAGGATACAACGTGATATATATATACAGATTCTCCCACCCCTATTCTGTCAAACACTGGTTCACCAGCCGTCGAAGTTGCCAAACCCACCGGTCCCGCGCATCTTTTTCCGCGGCGGCTCCGGCTCCGTCCACGGCACCTCCTCCCGCCCTTGATCCCCGTCCACAGCCGCCGCCGCCGGCGTCGTCGTCGTCTTCAGATACTTTCCAACCGCATCGCCGCCGCCCGCCTCCTCCACCGATCCGTCCGCACGAATGCGCTTGCCCGTCCACGTCGTCTTATCAGCCTCCTCGCCGCCCTCGCGCTCGACTTGCAGCCGGCGGGCCTCGTCGCGCTCCTGCTGCTGGTGCTGCGCCTGAAACGCAGCAAACGGGTCAACAAAAACGGCGACATTGCGAATGACGATTTTATGCAGCGGTCGCTGGGAGCCGTCGGTCGGCACGTCCTCCATCTGCGCGAGCACGTCGAGCCCGGACACGACGGTGCCAAAGATGGTGTGCTTGCGGTCGAGGTGCGGCACGGCCTTGTAGGCGATGAAGAATTGGCTCGAGTTTGTGTTTTTGCCCTTGTTGGCCATGGAGACTTTTTTTTGCATTTTGCTTGGTTAGCTTTGGGGCGAGATACGGCGCACGGAGGAAGGGGAGGGGGGGGGGAGAGGCATACCTGTGCCGCGGGCATTGTGCGTCAGCGGACCGTCAAACTCGTCGTCGAAATACTTTCCCCAGATACTCGCGCCGCCGCGCCCCGTCCCTGAGGGATCGCCGCCCTGGATCATAAAGTTGGGAATGTTCCTGTGAAACGCCACGTCCTTGTAGTAGCCCTTTTGGGCGAGCTTGACAAAGTTCCATACCGCCTTGGGCGCGGTATCCGTGTGCAGCTCCATCGTCAGGTCGCCCAGGTTCGTCTCGAGCCGGGCGTAACCTTTGCTCGTGACGCGCTTCGGCTTGAGCATAAACTCCTCGTCCGTCAGCAGCGCGCGCGCGCCGCTCGTCTCCGGCGTGAGGCCGGTGCTGGTGAAGCTCGCGGCGGCGCGTCCCGTCGTGTACGCCGCCGCCATGGCCGCCAGCTTCTTCTCCTTGATCATGCTCTCCCGCGCGGCGGTCGACACAGGGCCGGCGGCGCCCGTCTTGGCCAGTGCCGTCCCCGCGCTGCGGTTGACGTCGCCGCCGGCCTCGCGGGCTTTGCGCGCCTTGTCCACGGCCGCTCTCGCCCTAAGCACCTTGTCGCCCATGCTGCCGAGCGCGCCGGCGTTGATGCCGCCCTCGGCGCGGGCGCGCTCCTCCTCCTCCTCCTGGTCCTTGCTGCGCTGCGCGCCCGCGCCGTCCCGGAGGTACTTGAACTGGTCTAGGCTGCGGCGCGCGGCATTGTGCGGGTCCTGCAGCGTGATGATGTCGGCGCGCGTAAAGGGCTCGTCGTCGAGCAGGTCCCGCCACATCTTGGCCTTGACGTTCATGCGCTCGACCGTGTCCCATGCGAAGACGTTGGCGTAGGTCCCGTGGCGGACGGCGACAATGTGCGTGTTGTCGGTAAAGACCTTGTACGTGACGGGGTCGACGAGGTCGCCCTTGTCGTCGCCGAGGCCCGCGCCGCGCGAGTCGCTCGCGGCGTTGCGCGCGAAGCTGAGCCGGATGAGGTCGCGCTTCTGCAGCGGCGCGCCGTCGACGGGGTTCTGGTTCGGGTGCTTCTCGAGCCAGGCGCCAATGACCTCGACGTCGAAAATGGTGCCGTCGGGCGTGCACACGGGGTTCTGGAAGGGCTGCAGGCTCGCGGCGCAAAAGTTGAAGGGCAGCTTGCGAAAGGGGACGCCGGTTTTGGCATTGCGCGACGAGGCGGCGCCGGCGCCGACGCTGGGAGAGTAGGCGTCCGAGGACGACCACTCGGAGTGTGTAATCTGGACAGAGTGTCAGAGAGGAAGGGTCGGTAAGTGATACACCGCAGTCTTACGTAGAGTTTATCGGTGCCTTTACCCATGTCGACGGCTTGGTCAGGGTGATGTAGAATAAAAGGTTGCGGGCAGTTATGTCACTGCTGCAATTTTTGGCAGCGGCGGATGTTATCGATAGCCAGGATTGTTTATCCCCCCTTGTAGGTACAACCCCACTGTATGTACTCCGTAATACAGGGAGCCAGCATCAATCAGCCCGCCCGCAATTGCTGGCGCATCACGTCTGACCCACCATAACCAGCAACGTGCTGCCCGCTCAACCCGCTGTCGGCTTGTCAAGCTGCCACATCTCTTTCTCCCAGCTGCACCATGCGACAAACCACAAACGCCCTCCCTTCATCTCAGACGCAATCTCTCGACGATTACAACTCACACTGCCGTCGCGCTCATCTTCACCCTCGCCGCAATCGCGGCATCACCTGGCGAGCTTAGCCCGTTCAATTACGCAGTGCTGCGCCACCAGCGACAGCTCCCCCCCCCAGGCCCGACTGCCCAACCACTCAACATCGCATCACACACAGCCTGCCAAATCACGCTACAGCGTCCGAGGCAATAATTGACCACGGATATGCGGTCTCTACTCGGATATTTCGCCCTGGGCATGTCCCTCTGCACAATAACCCAGGCGCTAGAAGTTGGCATAGTAATGGCATCCCTCCACAAGAGCTAGGGCCCCTGCCGCTAACATGTTATTCAGGACCAGACGAGAGAAAACCAGCAATTCTGCGCCGGTAAAGACTTGCAACTCATGAATATTTGCTGGGACTGGAGCTAACGGATGGACCAGGCATGTACAGCAGAAAATCATGGGGCGGTTCCGTTGATCCATTCATCCTCGTCAAGTTTCTGAATAATACCCTCCCCGAAGGAGACGACCCTACCGTCAGTCTCGTCATATTCGAGTGGAAAGACAGAAGCTTTGTCGGTGTCCCGGGGGAAAGCGGCGAAAATGTAGGTCCTGCGACAAACTGGCAGCTCGCACCCCAGCCGTCACTAATCATCGTCCTAGGATCTTCTCCCATGCAACCAAGACTTTATCAACAGCGGCGCTTGCAACACGACCGATCTGGGCGAATTCATATTAGCAGAAAACGCCACCGAAAAATCGAATGCCTTCATCCTCTCCAAGGCCATCCACCTCAAATCTAGCGGCCCGGTTCGATACAACATCAAGGAGACGGGCTACTACTGCATCTTCACCCAGGGCTTCAACATCGACGACTATTCCGCCGTTGCTGAGTTCCGCAATGCCTTTGGCGAGATATCGGCAACACAGATTCCCAAGCTTCCCTTCTACGGCGGCATGAGCATCCTCTACGCGCTCATGGCAGTGTACTGGGGCTTCCTCTACTATCAGCATCGCCACGACATTCGTAAGCTTCTCTTCCTGGCGTGCATACCGCGTCTCTAACAGGATATAGTGGCTGTCCAAAACTATATTACGGCGATCCTGGTATTCCTAGTCGTTGAAATGCTCATGACTTGGGGGTTCTATGGTAGGAACATGCCCATCAACCACGATTACGCACTCAAGCTAACTGTATAGACTTCCAAAACACGCACGGCTCCAATGCTGGCGCCAAGGCCTTCCTCATTATAGTCGCTATTCTCAACGCTGCTAGAAATTCGTTTTCTTTCTTCCTTTTGCTCATCGTCTGCATGGGATACGGCGTAGTGAAGCCCACGCTGGGCCGCGCCATGATCTACGTCCGCTATCTCGCCGCCGCTCACTTTGTGTTCGGTCTCATCTATGCCATTACCAGCCTGCTTTCCTCTCCCGAGAGTGTCGGTACGCATTTCTTCCACCCCTGCTACGCAAATCGACGCCACTAACATGTCAAGCAGGCCCGTTTGTGCTACTCATCGTGCTCCCCTTGGCAGGCACCCTGACTGCTTTTTACGTATGGACGCTTAACTCGCTCAACTTTACGCTCAAGGATCTACGCGAACGCAAACAGCACGCCAAGGAAACCATGTATAAGAAACTCTGGTGGTGCATCCTCCTTACCATCGTCGTCACCTTTGGCTTTTTCTTCCTCAACAGCTTCAGCTTCGCCTCCATCCACGAGGCCGACTTTGTGCCGTCCCACTGGAAAACGCGCTGGTTCGTCCTCGACGGCTGGCTCAACATTGTCTACCTTGCCGACGTGGCCTGGGTCGCCTATGTCTGGCGCCCGACGGCCAACAACCGCCGCTTCGCCATGAGCGATGAGATTGCCCAGGACGACGACGGCCACTTTGAGATTGGCGAGATTGGGATGCCCGGCGACTCCGATGATGAGGACGAGGAGGCGAACCTCGGGAGAACAAAATCTGGTGCCGCCGGCACCAGTAGTGGCGCCGCGCAAGCCGGCCAGACAAGCGGCGTCATCTCCGCAGCCGCGGCTGGTGCCTCGGTGCAGAAGCCGACGCGCAGCGTGCCGCGCGACTCGATCGAGGGCGAGACCATCTTTGCTGTGGGCGAGGATGGTGACAGGTTCTCTGATGACGACAGCGACGAGGACGTCAAGCTTGTAAAATCAAAATAATCACATGGCACTTTGGCGTTTCTCCTGCACGGGTTCTTTGACTATCCTGTTATCACTCTGCTATCACCAACGCTACTTGGGAGAATAGACGACAAAAGGGGCCTAACGAGATGGGTCTTGTTTCCCTCTGTCCGTCGATTTTTTATAGACATATAGCTTTTGTACTGCTTTTTTGAAATGATTTGAATTATGCTGGTATGGCATTAATCCGATAATTGTACAGCGTGCTTGCAGTCATGCAATTATATACTCGCACAACATGCAACCGCCCGCAAATTGGCCTCCTACCTCTATCGCCGCCTTCTCAGCTGCTCACGTCGCCGCCAAACCCCACCGGCCGACGCTGGCCATCATTCTCCGGTAATATCGCCAGTGCCTTATACACCTTGCCCATGCCGCTCGGTCCGCGGTCCACCAGGCGCTTGCACGCCTTGTCGATAGCGTCGGCCGTCTCCTTGCTCGCGCCCGGGCTCTTGGCCAGCGCGGCCGCGCGCTCCTTGATGCCCATGAGCTCCAGAAAGTCGGCCTGCTGGATGGGGCCGTGCACCTCGACGCCGTCGCTCGCGAGGGTGGCGGCCTCGGCGAGGGCAGTAAAGTCGACGTCGGCACTGAGGTCGACGAGGCCGGGCGCGGAAAAGGGGTTGACGATTTTGTGCTGACGGATGCCGCGCAGGGAGTTGATGGGGATGGTGGCCGCGGGGCCGTAGTCGAGGATCAGGGCCGCGCCACGCGGGGACGCCTTGGGGTGCTTTTCAGTGCCGCCGATGCGGGCGGCAAAGTCGGCGGCGTAGAGCGCGGCGTCGGGGCACACCTCGACGATGGAGCCTTCAATCTGCTTGAGCTTGCGGTAGCGAGGCGAGGATTCGGGCACGTAGCGGGAGTGCCGCGTGGTGCCGGAGGAGAGCGAGAGCTCGAATTCCGCAGGCGCATCGGTCGGATCGAATCGGTAGTTGGATGAAGACGACGCGGCGTTGCTGGCTCCCGGTGCGGTGGGCGATACCATCATCTCGCGCCATTCCATCTTGGGGGCCGTGTGGGCGTCTGGTGCAGCGGGAGCCGGCGGTGCTGGGCTGCCGGGGATCCTTGGCGGCGGTGGTTTAAAGGCAACCCTGGCGGACTGGAAACTATGTATGGGCAGTGCATCAAAGAATTCATGCGCAATGATGAATGGGGTCTGGCTTGATTCTGGCTGGTGTCAGTATATTTCAGTGGCCCTGCTTCTAGGCATGCGCGTACCCATGGGAACAGACTTGATAGTCTGGGTCCAGACAATCGGAAGATTGTTGTATTTCCCTGTGCTGTGGTAACCAGCTTTGGACTCCGTCGTAGGTGTCCCTTCGCCGCAGAGTAAATCTTTCTGGGCGGACCTCAGCTCCGGACTGGCTTCAACCATGTAGACGGCTTCTATGCTGTTAGCCATGGCTGGAAATCGAGAAATGGTCTATGCACAGTAGTCAGTTTAGTCAACATTTTGAATAGTTCAACGCCGGTCTTACTCGGAGCATATCGTCCATCAAAGTTCCTCTTCCAGGCCCAACTTCAATCAGCTGGACCCCATCTTTGGGCCGGCCTTGGCTCATCCATTCTGCGATGAACCAAATGCCAATCAATTCGCCAAAAACTTGCGAGATTTCAGGCGATGTCACAAAATCCCCCTTGACACCAAACTGGTCCCTTCCCTCCCCAATGGCGCCGGTGTAGTAGCCTCCCACATCACCGGTCAGGCACATGCGCATGAAGCTTGCCAACGGAACTGTTCCCGTTGTCTGTCGCAGTGTTAGCGGGAGTTTCGAGATGAGCTGTGTGGCGGGGATCTTACAGAGATTGCTTCGAAGAGCTGCTTGGCTAGTGGTGTGGACCATTTTCTTTCTTCTTGTCTGCGCAGGGCAGAGGACGAGAAGCACTGTGTTGCAAATGTTGGTCTTGGGCGCGCAAGGCCCAGGGATCGCTGAGCGAGGAGCCGTGGTGCGGCAGCCACAGCACGGCGCATCGCAGTTTGGTGCCCAGACTTTTTCGCGAAGCACTGAGTAGCAAGATTTCTATATCTCAAGTGCTAGAAATTTCAGCGTGATGTTGTGAAGAGTTTCTGGGTAAAGGCAGCTGTCTTGTAGCTTGACAGCTGAGCTCCCAGCGCTTTTCTGGGGCAGGCGCTCCACGATAAGATAAGAGGCACGACGCAATGAAGCTCCACCAGCTTGCTCAATCTTGGACTTTCCATTCACCAGCGGGCATTGCCGGCATTGACGAATTGACGGCCGAAACAAACAACAGAGTTATTTCCCGGCCGGCGCCACGGGATATTCACCAAATCTAATTCCGGAAAATCGCGAGACAATACCACGCGCACATATAGCGTCCGAAAATCGATCTAGCGCCTCGTGCGCCGACCTGTAGCAACATGTCCGCACCCGCCAAATCACGATGGGCGAATACAGAAGAAGACGCGGAGCTGGATGCCAAGCTTAAACGGGAAAGGGAGGAAAAGCGACGCAAAAAGGCCGAAAAGGCGCGACAGCTCGAGGAGAAAAAGCAGGCCGCTGCAGCGGCCTCACGCGATGACGAGGATCGCCCTTTGAAGCGTCGCAAAATGACGCCGGAGCTAGCCACGCGGTCGGGAGAGAGTGCGTCTTCTGTTGTTGATGATGGCCCTGCGAAATTTTTGCGTTTCGAGACAGGTTCGTGGGGCCGCAGTAACAGCGTCGAGGACTACGACAAGCTCAACGACATTGAGGAGGGCACCTACGGCTGGGTCGCACGCGCAACACGGCGCGCCACAGGCAAGGTGGTGGCTCTGAAGCGCCTCAAGCTGGATCCTGCAGACCGCAGCGGGCTGCCTGTGACGGGCTTGCGAGAGATTCAGATTTTGCATGATTGCAAGCATCGCAATGTAGTCACGCTTGAGGAGGTCGTCGTTGGCAGCAACGTGAATAAGATGGACAAGTACGTTTTCCAGTATTTTCTTATCTTTTTGTTATAAACTCTAATGTTCACAGTTCAATATTCCTTGTCCTCGAATTCGTCGAGCACGATATTAAGAGCATTCTAGACGATATGCCGGAGCCATTCCTGGCCTCGGAAATCAAGTGTCTTTTGCAGCAGCTAACTGCAGGGGTGGCCTACTTGCACGAGAACTGGATCCTACACCGCGACCTTAAGACATCCAATCTGCTTCTCAATAATCGTGGCCAGCTCAAGATTGCCGATTTTGGCATGGCCCGCTACGTCGGCGACCCTGCGCCCAAACTCACCCAGCTGGTCGTGACGCTCTGGTACCGCAGCCCGGAGCTCCTCTTAGGCGCCAAAACCTACGACACGGCCGTCGACATGTGGAGCGTCGGCTGCATCTTCGGTGAGCTGATTGCCCGCGAGCCTCTCCTCCAGGGCAGCAACGAGGTGGACCAGGTGACCAAGATCTTTGAGCTGTGCGGCGTGCCGACCGACGAGTCCTGGCCCGACTTCCGCAAGCTCCCCAATGCGCGCTCGCTGCGGTTCCCCAAGACGGCCGCCGTCACGGGCTCTGTGATGCGCGCCAGGTTTCCGAGCATGACTTCGGCCGGCACCGGGCTACTCGCGGCGCTCCTTGCTCTCGATCCCGACTCCCGCCCATCGGCCAAGCAGATGCTGCAGCACGAGTACTTTCGCCAGGATCCCAAGCCCAAGCCGGAGAGCATGTTTCCCACATTTCCCAGTAAGGCGGGCCAGGAGCGGCGACGGCGACATGAACCGAATGCCCCTGTGCGTGGGCAGCAGGCTGCTGCGCTGGGCGATGTGGACTTTAGTGGCATCTTGCAGGGCAGAGACAAAGAAGAGCGTGGCGGTGGATTCAGTCTGCGCATGGTTTAATATCGGGTGATGTCATAATATTTGTAAAGATTTAGCCAGGTGCAACAGTATATACCCAATGAATAGATGTACTTTCAAGATTAATGGATCCCAGAAAAATGAAATAGCAATCGTCAATGCATCTTGTTTGAGCATCTTATACATGCCCTGGCGATCGTGCCCCACCAATTTTTTTATCTATCCCATTTCCCCACCATCACCCGCCAAACCTCTGAACCTCGCATACACATTTACCCCAGCTTTGCCGCATCTCGAGCTCAACTGTACCATCCCCAGCACAGGCTACGCCCCATATAGCCTCCTTCACCGATATACAGCAAGAGACTCCCAGTTTCCTGCCGCATTGCGCCGATACACCGACTGTGCGAGGGCCAGCACTGGGCCCACGAGACCTCAAAATTCCGTCTACCGACCACGAAATCCACATCGAAATAGCACAACCCTCGTCATGTCCTACTTCAAGACTGGCCAGGAGTGGCTGGACCAATCCGCCTTGCTAATCCAGGCCAGCCCTACCACTGTACGTGCCCCCCCCCAAACCAAGCCACGACAGCTTGCCCAAGCCCTCCCCGCCGCATGTAGCTAATCGTCGACTGTGGCCGGGCAGACCAAAATCACAACACGATACTCGATCAAGGTCGTGAAGCGCCGTAAACCCGCCGTCGCCGACACCGCCGCCGCCGCGGAGAAGCCGCCGCGCGCCGTGCTCGTCCTCAAGACGTTTGACCCCTGCAGCGGCGTGACGCTCAAGTACCGCACGACCAAGGCGGCCGAGGTGTCGCGGTTGATGGGCGCCGCCATGGGCCAGCTGGGCCGCAGCATGGCCGCGCTGCCCGATGTGTCGGCGGAGGAGCCCATGCCGGATGCTGCCGTTGACGAGGAAGTGCAGAAGCCGCAGCCGGCGGCGCCGGCGCCAGCCCCGCAGGCGCAGAGTGCGCCAGCGACGGGAGGTGGTGGCAAGAAGAAGAAGAAGGGCAAGAAATAGGCGCTGCGGCAGAGCGGATAGCTGCTGTATTGTGGGATGTGGCTATGGCATACAATGAAATGATATCTGGATGACCTGTGCAGGAGATGATAGACGGCAAAGGGACATACATTGCTGAATGCTACAACGGATTACACATGCCGAAGCCAGAGGAGCAGGCACTGCAATGAAAACTCAATAAAGACAGGCAAAAGTTGTCTAGGACATCATATTATCCGATCTAAAGGAATATGCTATACTCTGAAATCATGAATCCATCAAGCACCTTTGGCTGCTCGTATTTCCCATACAAATAAAATGTCCCTCATAACGCCGTAAAATCCAACCTTCCGAGCAGAGTCTGTCTCGTTTTTTTTCAACAGTCGCCGGGTTCATTGAAGCGTCCACCCGTGGACGACCATCTTTAATATACATGACATAGAAAACGAGGGTATATAGTGGTGCGTCGATTAGACGACTAGCTTAAAAGTCGTCATCAAAGCTGAAGTCGCCACCAGCCTGGTTTTCCTCGACAGTACCGTCGTCGGCCTTTTTGCTGGCGCTCGCCATGACGCCGGCCTTTTGGTACTCGCCGACACGCTTCTCGAAGAAGTTCGTCTTGCCGCCGAGGGAGATGTTCTCCATAAAGTCAAAGGGGTTGGTAGACTTGTAGACCTTTTCGTTTCCGAGAGCGGCCAGAAGACGGTCTGCAACAAACTCAATGTACTGCTGCATCAAGGTAGCGTTCATGCCGAGCAGGGCGCAGGGAAGAGCCTCTGTGAGGAACTCCTTCTCAATGGCAACGGCGTCAGTAATGATGGTCTTGATGATCTCCTTGCTAGCACGGTTGTTCAAGTGGGAGTGTAGCAAGCAGGCAAAGTCGGTGTGAAGACCCTCGTCACGGGAGATGAGCTCGTTGGAAAAGGTAAGACCGGGCATCAGGCCACGCTTCTTGAGCCAGAAGATGGAGGCAAAGGCGCCAGAGAAAAAGATGCCCTCGATAGCAGCAAAGGCAACGAGACGCTGGGCAAAGGTAGACTGCTTGTCAGAAATCCAGTGCAGGGCCCAGTCAGCCTTCTTGCGAATGCAGGGGATAGTCTCAATAGCATTGAAGAGGTATGTGCGCTGGGCCTGCTCCTTGATGTAGGTGTCGATGAGCAGAGAGTAGGTCTCGGAGTGGATGTTCTCCATCATAATCTGGAAACCGTAGAAGCAGCGAGCCTCAGGGATCTGGACCTCCCCGCTGAAGCGCTCGATCAGGTTCTCGTTGACAATGCCATCAGAGGCCGCGAAGAAGGCGAGGATGTGAGAGATGAAGTACTGCTCGTCGGCATTCAGGCGGTTGTTCCAGTCGTGAAGATCTTTGGACAGATCAATCTCTTCCGCGGTCCAGAAGGAAGCCTCAGCCTTCTTGTACATTTGCCAGATCTAGGAAACAGGTGTAAGCGCCATATTCGTGCAAGGTGGGTGTTTTACGCGTAAAAACACGTCGACATACCTCGTGGTACTTGATGGGGAAGAGAACGAAGCGCTGGGGATTCTCCTGGAGAAGAGGCTCGTCCATCTGCTCGGGCTTTGTGACGGCGACGGTGGTGTCATCCTTGACGTCCTTCTTGGCCGCAATGGTGATAATCTTGTCATCGATGATGTCGGTGCTGGTGGTCTCGAGGGAGGCATTGGCAGGGAGGTTCTCCTTGTTGGCGGAAGAGAAATCGAGCTTCTTGACGGGAGATTCCATCTTGAGGGACTCAATGGCGGTAGCAGCCTGTGTAATGGAGCGCGTTAGTGGCGTTGCTCGGGGGCGGGTGATGGTTCACAAAGTGAAGTCGCGCGCAAGTTGCACGACGACTGCAAGCTTACCTGCTTCGAGGGAGTTGTTTGGGAAGCCATTGCGAATGTAATGTGTGGTTTGTGATGTGAATAGAACAACTTCAGGGCAAGCAAAGTCTTGGTAAAAAAAAGACGTTTTAAATTGAGCTGTGCCTGGCGTGGATTGAAGACGCGTAGAGAACAGCGTTCATCGTCTTAGTGACCGGTGGCGAAGAGGTTTTTGTACAAGCTAATGTATGCCGTCACGTGAAGCTCGACGCGTCGAAGCGTGTTTTGGGTGGGTCCGTGGTAAGTGCTTTTCGGGCTGTTTGAATCCGTATGGACCACTTTATTAGAACAGTGGCTGGCTGTGCGGTACCTAGTGGAGCATCTACAAGGTACCTGGCTGGTACCAATAACAGCCAACAGCCCCATTCGCCGCCGTAACGGTCCAGCCACCTCGATTCGTGACCCTGGCATGCGCGACGCGTGATGCCCAGCCAGCGCGTCAAGGTATCCCAGCCGTACTGTTTCCCCTCCCTTGCACTCTTGGAGTGCAAGGAGCCGCGTTTGCCCACCCATTTTTGGTCAGGCTAGTGTCATCAATGCACAGTTATCAATCAGCAAACAAAGCCAATTCTCACGCGCATGGTGGACCGGATCCAATCGCGGGTGGCCTATGAGGCCTCAGACCGAGCAGTTTGCGTGGCCTCGGAGAGCACGTCGGAAATGGCCTTGGTCGGAATGCCGTCACCGATCCATCGTGAATAACTGAGCACTGGGCGACGGGGCAGGTCGCAAAGTTGACAGGTTTTACATGGTTTGTTACATACATGTAACTAGCAGGTTTCGCAAGAAAAGTACATCGCACACATACACCGTACGCATACTGTGGCTCGAACTGCATGGAGTCCAGCGAAAAACATTCATGTATTAATTAATTTGTAGTAAAAAATGCGTACTTATGGAGCTATGTAGTTCGTGATGCCGTGCAATTTCGTTACGCCCGACGGGTATCTGTATCAGTAGCCCTTCCCTACCCCTGTCCATCATTGTGCATTCCACCCTGCGACTCCATGACGCACTTATTTTCCACGTCGACTGTGCGCCGCATTTCCCACTTCCAGATCGTCGGGTCGCTTCTTGCTGCGTCCCAGCCAGTCTCTGCTCTCGCGAACACGGGCCTCCTCCGGCGCCGTCACCGGTACAGTATTGGCGCGCGAAGCTCCCGTCACGCCAGCTTCCTGCGCAGAGGCTGCGGCCTGCGTGCGGCGTGCGGGAGGCTCGTCGCGGCGGTCGTGGCGGTCTCGGTGATCGTGTCTGTCTTGGTCGTCGACGTAGTTGCGGTCAAATTCTTTCGGGTCGCTCGGGTCGACATCGGGAATAGGCAGATTGCCCCTTTTGAGGTTCTTCTGCCCCTGCTCGCGGAGGTACCCCTCGAGCAGCACCGCGTTGCGCGTATTGGCCTTGAACATGGCATCGACCATGTCGCCCACGAATGGTACCAGGCCAATAGCAAAGTCAAAGGCAATGTTCAGGAGCATTTGGAATTTCAGGAAGAATGGCAGGCCGCCTTCAATCTGGTCAGCTGCGCGCATGACCATGAGCGCCAAGAGGCAATCCGCGACATCGCCAGCACTGGGACAGTCAGCATGCACTCGATCAATCAATAGTTTCACGACTTACACGGGAATCAAACCAATAGCGCTGCCCCAACCAAACTTGATGCCCAAGAAGGTAAACAGAGCACAATCTAGACGGTAAGCACGACGCTTGACCTTTGTGAGAACCTGTCCATCCTGCTCAGAGAGCCCCGGCGGAAGAGCCTTTCTGACTTTTTTGAACTTGGTCGTGCTCGGCTTTCCGTTGAGTCTCGTCGCGGGCACTTGTTCGAAATACGGATCCTATCCGTGGTCAACATTTCGAAGCCAGCGCTAGAATAGACGAGCGAGCTTACCTCTTTGCCGAATTTATTCTGCAGCGTCTCCCCCAAAATCTTTTTTCCCACCATCTTTGCCACCATGGACGTCATTTTGGCAGTATTTGCGCAGGCTGTTGGGAAGTTTGGAAGTGCGGGCGAAGAAGTGCTGGTTGCGTGGACTAGCCCGCCTACTTATGCTGCGAGGAATTGGGCCACCCTGCGGATGAGACGATTGGAGGACTAGCAACGGTTTCAGGCGCTTACAGCAGAAATGAACTTGGACTGTATGAGCCGTGGTGAAGAAGCAGAACCGGGATGGGCTATGGGTCGCGGACGAGTTTCGCGGCGCTCAAGTTATTATTTTACGTTGACGAGGCCTCCATCCCGGTTTTGAAGTTGAATAACTGCAGCTGTTCCCTGTGTTGACCCAAGTGATGATGTAATATGGCGCTCATAGTGTGAGTGCCACCTGTGAGGCAGCCCACGGGCAGCCCCCAGCCACAGCTACTGCCACAGCCACGGTCAGTTCATCTTTCTGCTTGATTTATTAGGGGCTAATTTTGTTTCTTTTTCCCTCTGAAAATATATTTGTTTTTGTTGGGCAGTGGGTTGTCGATTGGTTGCCTCTCTGCGCTGCGCCCCAGTGCACAGCCCTGCATCTCTCTCGCAGTAGCTTTCATTGTAAACTTTATCGCGAAAAAAAATGCATATCACATGCAACAAGACTGATGCTGGACCGGATTACATTCATTTTGTGCGACTGTGTGAGAGTGTCATTTTCATCACGTGGGGCTTGGGTCTCGCGTCGAAGCGTTCCAGTTCGCGCGATGGAGCGTCAAACGTCGACATGCGCAACAGCAGGAAGCTGACACCACACGCTGACTGGAGCAACGCGGCAGAACCATGAACGCGCTCCTGGCCAGCATCTTTTCGCCTCTCAAAGAGACGGCCAGTTCGCGCAATGGCCAAGCTCTCGACCGTCTTGAGGGCTTCGCCACACCGACAAAAAAACGAGGGCCTCCGAAGCGGACGGCACGCAAGTCGGTGTCGTTTGATATGACTGTGAGCAGGCATATTTCTCTTGGATTGGAGGTGTACTAATTGCAGCAGCCCAAGGCACAGGTTAAGCACACACCACCCAAGTCAGGGCCCGCGCCACGCGAGTCGGACGAGCCTACGAATGGCTGGGACTTGATTGATGAGCCGGGGCGTGAAGTTTCACATGCGGATGAGCTTGCTGCAGAGGTCACAGAGCCTACTGTACCCGTAGACGAACCATCAGCGACGACAGAACCTGCCGATAAAGCTACCGACGCTGGCCCCGACACGGTCGACCCCGCAAGCGACGAATTTGCCTTCAAAGAGCTTACTGGCCACCGGTGGGACGGCGACTCTATACAGATTCAAGTGAAATGGGAAAATGGCCAGCGTACGTGGGAGCCCGAGACGATGCTGCATGACGACGCGCCGCAGGCGCTGCTCGACTATTGGCGGCGGCAGCCAGGCGGGCGACCCGACAACCCGCGACAGCCTGGTCTCTACGAGATTCACGCCATCCGCAAGCATAGCCGCGACCGCAAGCGCCTCTTTGTCGAATGGGTTGGCTTCGGGCCCAATGAGAGCACGTGGGAACCGCGAAAGGCCGTGGCGGATGCGGCGCCCGAGATTTTGAGCGACTACTTTGACAGTTTGCCGCGGACGAAGCGGCGACGGGTGCGGTAGCGGTTGGCCTTTGTTAGTATGTTGTAAACTGTTTGTGGCGTGTGGTATGTGTGGTAGTTTTGTTTTACGTCTCACGATTGTATGATTTATGATGGTTCGCGCGGCAATCCGGTGTTGAGAGCCGTTGCTTGGGATTGAACTACAGCTATTTTTAAGGACTGTTTACATAATTTGAATTGTTTCTGGGTGTAATGTATGCGTTTTCGCGTTTAATAAGATGAGTTGGCTGCATATTTATGCTCACATTTCACAATGCTTTAATCTGAATACCAATGACGATCATGGCCCATGACATTGCCGCTGACGATAGTTGTGCTGTAGCCTCGCCTGAGATAATTGCTCTGCGAGAACTTCACTTGCGGTTTTTTGTTTGACCCTTATTCTTCCTGCGAGGGTATGCTCTCTGGTATGTCTCGTCTCGATGCCACGCCCAAGGGCGTCACACTGGGATGCAACTGAACCTATGCGTAGGGCATCAGCACCGTCCACGACTCCCACAGCCGCCACGAGCCAGATATCAACAGCTAGCCGAATTAAAACAAGTAAAGCCTACACATTTATCATGCGTCAGATACGTAGTGACAGATAAATCATCCCGAGACGTGGTTCTTATATCGAGTCACAGCTACAGGGTACTCCCGCCATTACGCGCGCACGCCCATGACACAAACACTGAGCATCTCCCCATATGATAGAATAGCTCACGGTCTTTCAACAATAACCGCGCTGGTTCGGTGGTCTAGTGGGTAAGAAACATTTCGTTCCACATCAATATTCCACCAATTGTACTAACAAACATTAGTATGATTCTCGCTTAGGGTCCACCCTAAGTTTAACAGCTTGCGAGAGGTCCCGGGTTCAATCCCCGGCCGAACCCATTCTTTTTTTTTCCTGCCTGTTTTTAGGCCGCGGGAGAAGTCCCTCGTGGCTGATAGTTTTGAGCAGGGTACCTACATAGCTTTTACAACGATAGAAAGCTGAAAGCGTGGTGATGGTGAGATGTGGAAGACTGCGATTGATGGTTGGCTACGGATGGGCGGATTCTCTGGTTTACTTGAATTTTGACGAGGCGAGGGGGGGTAGGTATGTTGCTGATCGCATAGACGAATACAACCGTGTTTATTATTCTGGTTCGTCATGGCATTGTATGGCATGCCGAAAGCGAGAGCGGCGGGAGTGTTGCTATATATTTGAATGGGGCTCATTTATGCCGGACGAACAGTCTTGTGCTTCAGAGTATACTAAAAATTGACAGGAACAGCCAAGTATATCGGATTGCAGTGTTTTTACTGCTGGAAGCTGTTAGATGTACGCGATCGTTCGCGTAATAATGTAGAGGTCCAGCATGCTAGCCTCAGACACCGCTGTTAGATGTACGCGATCGTTCGCGTAATAATGTAGAGGTCCAGCATGCTAGCCTCAGACACCACAGCCACAGACGGGCGCGCCCCGGTTACTACAATTCAATTGCTGGCCGTCACGACAGCCGGCTTCTGAATGGTACAGAGCGTCGCTTATCCGGTACTTTTGCCATAGTAGATTGAATCTACTACTAAAGTTAGGCTGTCTTATTGATAACACTGATTCGCCAACATTGTGTCCGCTACGATTCCAAGTCGGGCGACAAATTAGGCGTCCATCGTCCATGTTTCCTAGCCTGAGAATGGAGTCTTTGCAAAGTTGCAAGTCAGTTAAACATGATATACAAGCACAGAAGCGTTACAGAATCTATTCGAATTTCACCATTCCGTGAGTATTTTAGCAGGAACAAGTATCTCGGCCGTTTTGCAGGTTGCGAAAGTCAACAGCTGGGCCGCCTCGGGAATGCATTGCGCTGGAACACAAAATCCCTGCTGGAGACGAGCGAGGATAAACTACTTTCATGTAGAACTTACTCATGGGCGTATTGATCGTTACGATGCTGCGCAAGTAGACGGATCATTTTCTGCTTATACTCTGTAACCAACCGACATCACGCTAGTGACATCACGACGAGTAGCCGAATAACCCAGTAACCGAGCTTCAACACCCGCCTCGCCAGGAACAAAACGTCAATTGACCCCTGAAAGAACGACCACAAGACTCCCTAATCCCCTAATCTTCTTCTTCACATCCCACGCCGACATGTTTGGCGGCGCGGCGAGATTTGGCCCAGTGCGGGGTGCCCTACGACAGCTGCCAAGTTCGCGACGGCACTCGAGCCAGTACGAACAGACGGTCGGCAACCTGCGCATCAACCAGGACAGCAGGGTCATTTTCCAAGGTATGATGCCAATTCCCCGAATTTCACCGTTTCCCAAGCTCACGTGTTTCAGGATTCACTGGGAGAGCGGTACGTCAAACGACGAACAGCCGAGGCAAAGCTAACCGGCGCAGGCGACGGCCAATGCCAAAGACACCATCGCATACGGCACGCAAATCGTCGGCGGCGTCTCGCCCGGCAAAGGCGGGCAGACGCATCTCGACCTGCCCGTCTTCAACACCGTGCGCGAGGTACGCACGCCCTTCCTCGGCCAAACACCAGCTGCTAATTTCAGGGCGTACAGGCAGTGCAGCAAGTCAAGCCGCAGGTGAGCGCCGTCTTCGTGCCGGCGGCCGGGGCGGCGGCGGCCATCATCGAGGCCATCGAGGCCGAGGTGCCGCTCGTCGTCAGCGTGGCCGAGCACATCCCCGTGCACGACATGCTGCGCGTGCACGAGGTGCTCCAGACGCAGGGCCGCACGCGGCTGGTCGGGCCCAACTGCCCGGGCATCATCGCGCCGGCCCAGTGCCGCGTCGGCATCATGCCGTACCGCCAGTACCAAAAGGGCTGCGTCGGCATCGTGTCCAAGTCGGGCACGCTCAGCTACGAGGCCGTCGGCGCGACGAGCAAGGCGGGGCTGGGCCAGAGCATCGTCATGGGCATGGGCGGCGATTTACTACCAGGTGCGCTTCCGGCTGTTTTTATTTTTTCATTCTATTTTTATTTTCTGAGCACCAACTGACCAATGTAGGCACCACGCTCGTGGACGGACTCAGGCTGTTCTTTGACGACCCAGAGACCAAAGGCATCATCGTCATTGGCGAGATTGGCGGCGAGGCGGAGCTGCGCGCCGCCGAAGTCATCCGGGAGTACCGCGCGCGCACGGCCAACCCCAAGCCCATTATTGCCATGGTGGCAGGGCGGACGGCGCCGCAGGGCCGCGTCATGGGCCACGCCGGCGCGGTGCTCATGCCCCGGGACGTGTCGGCGGCGGACAAGGCCGAGGCGCTCCGTAGGGCGGGCGCCGTGGTGGTGCCGCATCCTGGCGTGATGGGCGAGACGATGAAGGCGCTCCTGGGCATGTAGGCGGGTAGCAGCGGTCGTAATTATTCAGCATTCTAGATTTAGACTATAAACATTGTCGTCTGAACAAACTAAACCAAGCGGACTAGAGAAGTTCCAATAGTTGGAGCATTTATATAGTTATATAAGATAGCAACGCAGCTTATATAGAAAAAATAAAAATGAAGAAAATACGGAAACAGCCTTATATTAACAAGGTAATACTAAGAAATATCAACTACGTCTAAATACTACCCGAATTATAATCTGAGGTTATAAGATAACACTATATCTTTTTCTAGGTCAGGGGGCTGGTGCCTGATACCGGTGGTTGGGTTATATATGAATTCGATCTGTACCACTGTCTTGATCAAGAAACAATCCACCTCTGCAAGTGAACATCTGTTACATATACCGAAAAGCGCCCAAAACAAAGCGCTTTGTCATGTTCACGTGATATACCCCGACCAAGTACTTACATACTTGCCAAGTGCGGACTTGATCTACCCAGTTTCATCACATACCTCACCATATTTCCTGCCTTGCAGTCATGGACAAGCTTGTTCTACGAATATGCCAAATACTGAACTCGGCTGGTGTACCAAATGTTCTTTGGGGTAATTATTTGCTGAGGATTTATGGTGTGCCAACCATTTTTGACGTTTGTTTAACCCTCTCCTTCGAAACCTAACGCAGCGCTAACCCAAAAATAACAGGATGTGGCCTTTGTTGTGCCTGATGATCGAATAGCGGCAGCTTCCTCTGCCCTTGCCCAGTCCAATTTTACTCGTTGCGGAGATAACCCAAACTGCGATCGCTCATATCCTTTTCAGGCTCGACGCCCTTCGGAGCACTTTCACATGAGTGATGTGCTTGTGCTATCCTTGTACCAAAAATCCGACATCCTCTGGGAGCTCACAGCCCTCGACTCTCCTACGTCGGAAAACGCTGCCAGCATCCTAAGTGCGTCGGACCCTTCACTTCCCCCAGCCGTTCCGGGCAGGGGCCGAGGGCGATTGTCTTCGGAATGTTTCGCTGTGCGGGTTCCAGCCATCGCTAAATTTTGTGAGAGCTTGCTTCTCCTTATGTGCCGCGATTACAACACCACCTACGAGTCTTACTGGATGGTCTTATTGACTTATATAATTGAGTATGTTGATGAGACGGATTCTTTCAACGCTAAAGATTTGGGATATGAGTTTAGAAAATTTTATTGCGCTTTGAAAGTAGGTGATACTTCTTCTATGTGGCTGCTTTTGGAGGAGCTCCGCTCCAACTTGTCTTCGAGCGGTCGTCTGCTCAATGGCCAGAATTTGTAATTTCAAATGGATAATGGTATCAAGGGCGAATTTTGGTTAATTTCTGAGTAATTTATGAAGTTAAGCGTCTTCAATTTACTGTTTTGAACATTTCATAGCTATGTCGGGAAAAGCCCTCAGAATAGCTTGCCTAAAGGTGAATAACCTTTGAGACATTAAAACCAGTAGCCTGTGAAGAGTAGTACCCTCTCTGATTTGACATGACGCGTTTCCCATTCTCATTTTGGAAGTCGCAGTTGAAATGGGTGTGCCCAAACGCCCAAACCTTCACAACAGGCGCTTTCCAGCACAGCTCAGTGGACAGGTCCGTCATGAAACCAGATGAAATCGCGCTGCTTTGGTGTTGGGGATCGGTGACATATTCATCAGTTAGGGGGCAGTAATGGGTGAACACCAGCACCTCACGGTGGGGTTCTAAGCGCGATATGCACTCGACCTCAGCATTAAGCCAGTCGACATCAGCACGGTGCGCTTTCCGGTGCGACTGAACTGTCCAATCATCAATAAGGTAGAAATCGTTCAGTCCCATACTGACACGGTCTTGATTTTCGAGCGCCACATGCGAGAACAGTGTGCATCCCAGAACAGTGACTGTAGGGGACAGGTCGTAACGGGTTTGATCGAGGACAACAAGTTGGTCGGGTTGGGTGAGCCCCATCCGAAACGTCTCGACTCTCGCCTTAGCTTCAGGCCAGCTACTGTAATATGGCTCGTGGTTTCCTAGAATCAGAAAGACAACACGGAAAACCTCGAGCTGACGGCGAAGAAAACAGAAGAAGCCGTCGTCCTTGATGTAGCCAATGTCGCCGAGCAAGGCCAGGTACGGCGCGTTCGGTTCGACATGAAAGATGTCATATCCATTAGGGGATTCGAGGTGGAGATCAGACAGGATTTGCACTTTTGTTTCAGCCATCGGCGGCAATCCGAGGTGTGAATTCTTTATCGCGACCAGCAGTTTGGTGAAAAGAGGGGGTTGTAACCTGTCTGTTCACAGCCGAGATCAGGCACGCCAAGAAATACCCAAGCACATTCAGCAGGCAGTATCTCACCTAAGGGTAATACTAATATTAAGGTAAGGGAATTATTAACCTACTATTAGGTAATATATTCTTATAAGCTATTAAGCTTATAAAATACTCTTATATAGTTTAATGAGTTATATAATAAAGCTTTTCTAGTAATATAATAAGAAGTAACTTCTTATTATTAGTTAGATATTTAAGTAGATTTAAAAATAAGCTTTACGATACTTAAGAAGAAAAAGTAAAAGTAAGAAGCGAAGAAAGCTACATACCTACCTAGGTAGCCACATGGCCTATATGACCTCCTGACCCACCTTAAGATACGGTTAATAGGTCTCTTCCGAGATTGACGATCCAATTCACCTCCTCCCATGATGAAAACCAAGGACCCGATATCTTGCTCAAGCAAGATATCAGTCAAAATAACACCTCCATCATTGTTGCACCCGCATCTCCTGCCCTAATTATGACTAAACTTGGTCGTTGGGCGAGGACAATCATGCGCTCTGCTTCGCCCCCCCGAAAGTTTCCGGGCCACGGCTTCAAAGTGATCAGCAATATCGAAAAGCTAGAGGAAGAGAATTGGGAGTGGTACAAGCCAGGCCTCTTCTACCCTGTTTGTATTGGCCAAGTCTTCAATTCACAGTACAAAGTCTTGGGCAAACTTGGATACGGTTCGTGCTCGACTGCATGGCTCTGTCGCGATCTCAGGTTGGTGTGGCAACCCTATAACCCTTCTATTCTGCTGAGGCTCAAAACAGGGGACACAAATACGTTACATTGAAAGTATGCGAGATGAACTCCCCCTCGGTTCGCCGCGAGATTGCCGCCTACAGTCATCTGGACACGGTTACGACGAACAACCCGGGAGCCTTACTCGTTCGGGGGCTGCTTGATTCTTTCAAAGCTATGGGGCCAGCTGGTGAACACCAGTGCCTGGTTCATGAGCCTCTTGGCATGAGCATGGAGACACTACGGCAGCTGAGTCCTGGCCGAAAGCTCCCCGAACCCCTCCTCAGAGCCTTCTTGACCCATGTACTGCAAGCTCTTGATTTCTTGCACACAGATGCAAAAATTGTCCATGCCGGTATGCAGGAATTTTTTGAGCTCCTCGCCTTGGATCCTGCCCAACTATGCTAACTCTGCCTTTGCCAGACTTGCAAGCGAGAAATATACATCTTAGAATCGAGGATGAGTCGATTCTGAGACATTTTGAAGCGGCTGAGCTAAGCGACCCAAGCCGTCGCAAAATCGATGGAGATCGGGTGATTTATGAGTCTCGAGGGCTTATACGACCCGAGAAGCCTGGTCGCCCAATCCTTTGTGATTTTGGCGAAGCTCGCTTTGGAAAGAAGACTTACATTGATGATATTCAGCCGTACGTTTATCGGGCACCAGAGATTATACTTGACATCCCGTGGACCTACAGTGTTGATATCTGGAATGTTGGGGTCATGGTAAGTATCTCCACCGAAATGCTTGAGTCCTCTTTCTTCGTCTCGTTCTAATTAGCCTCATTGATAGACTTGGGATGTTTTCGAGAACAAGCACCTGTTCAGCGCTCAAGATAGCGACGGCAGGCGCTCAAGCCTGCAGCACATTGCCGAAATGGTTGCCGTGCTGGGACGACCTCCGTTGGATTATCTTCAGCGTACGGAGACGTCATGGGAGTACTTTGATCGTTCTGGCAACTGGAAAGGCGCGGTTGAGATCCCAACAATTTCCTTGGAGGACTCGGAAGAACAACTGGGCGGTGAGAGTAAGGCTCTGTTTCTAGATTTTTTGCGCAACATGTTATGCTGGATTCCGGAGGAGAGACAGACCGCAAAACAGCTGCTGAACCATCCATGGCTGAACAAGTGAATAGGCCAATAGATGGATGTGCAGTAGCAGAGAGGATTTTCCAGCGGCAGAGGCAATCAAGTAATTACCTTCCTATAAATATAGGATATTATTATACTAAGATATATAGTATATATTAGGAATTAGTAGGGCGATATTACCTAAGGGATGCTACCCTTAGCCGAACTTATCAAGGTACCGTACAGGCAACAAAAAAAAGGACGCACACATAAGTCTATACTTAATTATTAAGAAGGTTAAACTTGGAATTGTAAAAAGGGGAATTAGAATAAGTATAAGTAAGACCAGTAATATAGGTAAGAAGATAAGAGGGATAGTATAAATAAAGAAAATTAAAAAGAGAAAGAAAATAGTAAGAATAAGGAAGAGGTTAATATTCCTAACCGGCGGGTTATTTGACAGGGGTGGGGACACAGTGTGGGCAGCACGTCGTGTTGAAACTGACAGCGTTGTGACAGGGACTTTTGATGTGTTGAAAAAAAAACATGCAAGTCAAGAAACGTGTTCAAGTATCGTAACACATTTTTTGTATCGTAAAGACGTGGTGTTGTGCGTGTATGTAGCGTAGAAAATATGTCGATAACAAAAGCTGTCAGAAACACGCTCTGCTGGCGCTTGCAACGTGTTTGTGTGATAATTCGCTATGATATCAACGTGCTGACATTGCCCAGATATATATTGGCTGTGCCGCGACACTGGAGCTCGTATTCTGGCTTGTGCCGCATTTCGTCGTCTCTGCTGTCGCGGATTCACTACAAGGCTTCTTTCTTGGCTCCAGTTTCCTGGAGTCGTTCTTCTCCAAAATAGTGAAAGATAATGTACTTTGTATAATTCATCTCCCTGCTTCGTATTCATATTTATAGATCCGGCACAGCGTCAACGGTCTTGACTACGCGAGCCGGGGTTCCGATAGCAACAGAAAAGTCGGGAATTGACTTTGTCACAATGCTGCCGGCACCAATTGTGCAGCCCTTGCCAATGGTGACACCGGGCATGATTGTCGTGTTGCCGCCAATCCAGCAATCATCACCAATGACGACAGGCTTGGCGTACTCGACGCCGTCACGGCGGGATTGTACGCCAGTCTCGTGGGTAGCTGAAAAAATGGACACAAAGGGCCCAAACATGACGCGGTTGCCAATCTGTACGAGGGCGCAGTCGAGGATGACGAGGCTACACTGTCAGCTGGGTTCCTATGGAGTGAAGAATTCAGCTCACTTAAAGTTGGAATAGAAGTTGTCGCCCACGACAATGTTGCAGCCGTAGTCGACGCTGAGAGGGGGCTCAATATAGGCGCCCTTGCCAACCTTGCCAAAGATTTCGACGAGTGCCTGGGTGCGATCTTTCTCAAGCGACTCCAAGGTGGCATCGTCGGGAAAGGTGGTATTGTATCTGGATGCGTTAGCGAGCGTCTTGTTTCCATGGTTGTGATCGTACTTGTGCATCAGTCGCCTCGCACGGAAGCGGCCTTGGACTAGCTCAGGAACCTGGGCATCATATCTACACCAGTTAGTTTGCTTCGTGGAGGGCACGTCAGCGCACTAACAGAACACCGGATATCATCTTTTCGTAGTCGTCGCACCAGGGAATGTGCTCGAGCGTCTTGGCCAGCTCAATCGCGGCGGCGTCTTTATCCGTGGCAGCCATGGTATCGTTATGTTGGTGAGTCGCTTTACAGATGCTCAAAAGACTGCAGTTAAGATGGAAGTGGCCTGTTTAAATATGAGCTCCGTGAAGGTCTGTGATGGAGCCCCGAAGTCGAACCGTCGGACCGACGAAACGGCTTGGCAGGCTTGGTCGGGCGTTGTGGTGGGGTTGGCGGGGAGATTCTAGATCGAGGCCTTGGCCGTTGATGGATGATTGTTAGGTTTCACAGTTGTGTGCCGGTCTTGCAGGTAGGTTGGGCTGAAATATAAAGACAGGCCAAGTTGGCGCAAAAATCATTCGCCGCTGCCTAAGCATTTTGCAAGAGCGACCCAAAAATGAGGCTCCATGGAATTGCCCTTGCGGCATCGGCCTCGGCCAACTACTACAACCCCGCCGTCTGCCACAGCAGCCTCGACTGCCTGCGAATCTGCCAGCAGGGCGACTTCAAAGTCATCGAAAGCGCTGACGGACAGCCGCAGCTGGCGTGCGCCGCCGGCATCATCGAGTACAGCCGCAAGACGTGCCAGTCGCGCCACGGCAGCGGCGACGAGAGCGTGCGGCTGCTCAGCGACGCGTGCGGGCGGGCGCGCGGCCTGCTCTGTGTGAATTACTGCGTGGTGCCGACGCAGGACCCCGGACGGTTCGAGGACCAGTGCCGCGGCATGGAGGGGATGCCGTCGGTCATCATGGGCGGGTTGACGGAGGACCAGGCCAAGGGGCAGGAGGTCTGTTCCTGGCCGATGAAGACGGGATGAATGTTTGGAGAGTCCATTTTAGTTGAATCCGGGGTCGGGGAGACGGCGAGTAGCCGAGCCGAGACTGAGAGTCTGATATAACCGCTGGGCTAGGTATTTGGAGTTGCTCGGCTAGTGGTTCGCTACAAGACCACTGAATAATGTATAATCGCTGTTAAAGTGCTGAATGAGTGGTGCATTGTAGCGCATACAGACGCTATAACCCCACTGAATAATAAGGTACCTATAATTGCTATTGGAGTGCTGAATACCAGGTACCTGTTAGTGGTTTGTATTGTAGCGAATATTACAGAGGCTACGAGACCACTGAAACAACAATACCGTCGGCTGGATCAACTTTCTCGTGCAAAGTGAGGCTCTGAATTGTAAATACACTGGCTGTTCAGCACTGCTCATAAACTGGACATGGGACAAACAACGTACTGTAGAATTACACCCAGTGCACAGCCCTCCCTGCTACCTACATCTTGGATGGCACCCACTGCGGCTTCTCCTTGCCCACAAACGCCATCAAGCCCAGCTTGATATTCTCACCATTGACCAGCTGGCGCATATACCTCTCGTCCATAATCTGCGCCGCTCGCTCCACGCTGGCCGTCTCCCACGCCTCGCGCAGTCCCGCCCGGCTCATGATGATGGCGTCGGGCGACGCCTCTGTAATCTGCGTGGCCAGCGCCACGGCCTCGGGCACCACGGTGTCCTGCGAGGCGGCGATGCGCGCAAAGCCGTGGTGCTTGACCTCCTCGGCCGTGAGCGTGCGCGCCGCGAGCACAATCTCCGACGCCAGCTGCATGCCAAAGATGCGCACCACGCGCGGGATGCCGCCCGCGCCGGCCCATACACCGCGCTTCACCTCGGGCAGGCCAAACGTCGCCGTCGGGGAGGCGACTACCATGTCGCTATGTTCACACGCGTTATTAGAAACAACTGGTCCTTGACACGGGCCGGGTAAAATGGTCACGTACCAGTTCAGCGCCAGCTCGAAACCGCCGCCGAGAGCCAGGCCATTCACGGCGGCAATCACCGGCTTCTTGCCGAGGCGTCTGCTGAGACCGCCAAAGCCCGTCGCCGGCAGCGCGGGCACGTTGGACTGCTCGCCCGAGAGCTGCCGCTCCATCAGCATCTTGAGATCCTGGCCGGCGCAAAAGGCCTTTTTCCCCTTGCCGGTAATTACGGCGACGCGCAGCGAGGGCTCGTCGTCGAACCACTGGAAGAGCCGCTCGCCCTCGTAGTGGCCGTCTGTGTGGATGGCATTCATCGACCTTTCACGGTTAATGGTCACCAGGAGCACATACGGCGCCGGGTAGCTGAGCTCGTAAACGGTCACCTCGGGAGGCTGTGTCTCTAGCTTGTCCGCCATGGTGCTGTATGTGCTGACGATGTATAAATATTATTCAAATGTAGAAGGACGGAAAAAGAATTTAATTGTAGAATGATGAAAAAATATGCGAGATGTACAATCAAAGTTCTTGGTAACAGTTACTACGATGCTGGGAAGGCTGGGGAAGTTGGTGTCCCCCTGGAACCTCGGCAGCTCCCCACAGCACATAGCCGACGAGCTATATGCCACATTGACAACGGTGCACCTCGTATTCTTCTTCTCACCAAATTCACAGCACCATCAAAATATATTCCTGAATCCGAAATAGAAAGTGTCGGATGAACTGGGAGCCAATCAGACTCACCATTGACCAAACAACATCTCATCTTCACATCTCATCTTCATATTTCATCTTCACATCTCATCTTCAGTGCGAGCCCACGGCGCAGCAACCATGTCACCGAGCCGAGCCGTCCCTATCCTTGTCGGCGTCGGCGATGTCAGAAACAAATCCAGCAAGCCAGAAGACGCTCTCGAGCCGTCCAAAATGATGACAAGAGCCATCCGAAACGCCCTCGAAGACACCGGTCTTGACGCTGCGGCACAGAAACAGGTCCTCAATGAGACGGACAGTCTGCGCATCATCCCCACCTGGACTTGGGCGTACAACGACCTGCTGAGTACCGTGGCGGAAGACCTGGGTATCAAGCCGACAACAAAAGAGATGCCGACGCACGGCGGCAACCAACCCGCCTTGCAATGCGACGAAGCCGCCCGAGCCATCGCCAACCGCCAGAGCAAGGTGGCCATCTTGACTGGTGGCGAGGCCATGGCTTCGCGTACGTAGGACACATAGCTCTACCTGCTGCCCGAATGATACTGATCAAGTTAGTCGCGGGCTGCCAGAAAGCAGGCCAGATGCCACCGCCAGGCTGGGTAGAGCCCGACCCCGACGGAAAGTCCGTCTCGATGGACATGTCCATCTTGGGCGATGGTAATGTCCCCCACGCCTCCGACGATGGACTGTTCTCTGACCTCCCCAGGCGCCGGCCCGCGACACTCTGTCGGCCTGCCGATCCACGTCTACCCTCTGTACGAGATTGGACGTCGCGCGCGTCTGCGGCAGACGGCACAGCAAAACAATCAGGAGTCGGCCACCATGTACGCCGCTTTCGATGAGATTGGCTCCAAGAATGAATATTCCTGGAACTATGGCGAAAAGATCAAAACAGCCGAATTCATCGGCTCCATAACTAAGCGAAACCGCATCATTTGCGAGCCCTGTACGTGGTTTCGGCGCGAGCATGAAGAATCAAGCTGATGAAATAGACCCGCTGTTGATGAATGCCTTCAACGGCGTCAACTTGTCCGCTGCTTGCATTCTCACGTCGACGGAGCACGCCGAGAAGCTCGGAATCCCCAAGGACAAGTGGGTGTATATTCTTGGCGGCGCCGGTACGCATGAAAAGGATAATTGTGAGTTGTCACCGTCCCGTTTCGTGACCAATACTGACAATCGAAGTCTGGGAACGACCTGGATTCGCCAGCAGCCCTGCCATAACCAATTCTCTTGATGCGGCACTGCAAGTGTCTGGCCTAACCAAAGACAAAATTGATGTCTTTGACTTTTACTCGCAAGTCAAGACCTGTCGACGAAAAAAGGACTCGGCTGACCTGTTGCAGCTGCTTCCCCATCGTGCCCAAGCTCGCATGCGATCATTTCGGACTCTCGCCAACCACGCCAAAGAAGCCAATCTCGCTGCTGGGCGGACTCACATCATTCGGAGGGGCCGGCAACAACTACTCGATGCATGCAAGTACTGCCCCGACCCTTGATAGCAGCGCAGCGTACAATGCTAACATGTCGTAGGCGCTCACGGCCATGACGCGCGCGTTGCGCAGCCGCCGGTACAACAACGGTCTGATCTTGGCCAATGGCGGCATGCTCACGCACCAATACGCCATCTGCCTCTCAACACAGCCTCGCCGGGACGGACAGGACTACCCCGCCAAAAATCCGTTGCCGCTCGTCGTGCCCGATGCCGCGCCGCCATTCGCCGAGGACGCCAGCGGCCCCGCCACGATTGAAGTAAGTTGCCGATCCGGTCCGACCCCCGCCCCCGCCCCCGGTTACTGACAGTGACCAGACTTACACGATTGAGTATGATCGCTCGGGTGCGCCTAGTCTCGGGCATATTGTCGGAAAACTAAAGACGGGCGAGAGATTTCTGGCGAATCATGGTGATGACGCGACGCTGGAGAGACTGGCGCAGCGCTCCGTGGAGCATGTTGGTCAGGCTGGCGTCGTGCGCAAGGACGAGGAACGGAATCTGTTTTATTTCGAGGCCAAGCCAAACCTGTGAAAGAAACCCCAATTAGAACTAGAGTAAATATTTACTGTCTAAAATTAATGGAACAATTCATTGCACACTGCACGTGACTATGCAATCAATCCGACCCGTGAGGCCTGCAGCTTGTCCGCTATCTCCGTTGGGAACATCAGCGAGGAGTTTAAATTGGGGAACCGCCCATCTCGAGACGACCCAACCTGCATCTACCCAACTGTTCACTTTTCTTCCATCCTACAAAATGGCTTGCGCAGACTGCTTCCGCGGCAACATTCACAACGGCAAGCCCAAGGGCGAGGTTGGCCACGTCCACGGCCTTCCCACGTACATTTCCCGGCCGCCCCAAGGCACCCCGTCGCGGGGCGTCGTCGTCGTCATCCCAGACGCCTTTGGCTGGGAGTTTGGCAACAATCGTCTGCTGGCGGATACATATGCCGAAAAGGGCGGCTTTACCGTCTATCTCCCCGACTTTATGAATGGTATGTTGTCATACATACAAACCGCCCGCTGTGTCACCGTGGCTGACTGGGACAAAGGCCATGCGGCTCCCCTGCGAATGTTTGATCATGGCCGCGCCTTTTCGACCTCGCCCAACATCCTGACCAAAATGTGGGCAAATCTAACAACTGTGCATCTCGACAGGCTCGTTCCATATACTGACATTGACACAGCTACCACCTCTTTTGGGCCGTCCTCGACGTCATCCCCTTCTTCTACCACTGCAACCCCAGCAGCACCTTCCCCGTCGTCAAGGGCTTCTTCACGCAGCTGCGCAAGGACGAGGGCGCGACGCAGTCGGTCGGCGCCGCGGGCTTCTGCTGGGGCGGCAAGCACGTCGTGTTGCTGAGCCAGGGCCACGCCGCCGTCGACGGCCGGCCGCTGCTCGACGCCGGCTTCACGGCGCACCCGAGCATGCTGCGCATCCCGAGCGACATTGCCAAGATCCGGCGCCCCGTCTCGTTTGCCCTCGCCGCCAAGGACGACCAGATCCCCGCGGCCAAGGCGGCGCGCCTCAAGGCGCTCGTCGAGGCCCTGCCGGCGCCCGCGACCGGCGAGGCGTACGTCTTTGAGCGGACCGGCCACGGCTTCGCGGTCCGCGCCGACTTGGCTGAGGATGATGTGGCGGCGCAGGCGGCGAGGGCTGAGGACCAATGCATTGACTGGTTCAACAAGCACTTTTAATGTGATGCAATAACGGAACTTGTATGAGACTTAAAATGATACGAAATACGCCACCTTGATGTTAGTCTATGCACACACTGATACTTATGCATTGGCAAGCTCAACTGCCTTTTCCGCCGCCTTTCCAAAGTCCGATTCTACGTGTAATCCTAGATTGGCATCCGCGAGCTTGCAAAGTCAGCATTTCTCACATATACCATCATTGGGCACTTACCAGCTTCAATCCCGCGTCCGAGTTGGTGCCCTGAAGACGAACCACCATCGGGACATGAATATCCATCTCGCTGGCCGCGCCAATAATCGACTCGGCAATCATGTCGCATCTCGTAATGCCTGCAAGAATTAGACCGCTGAGCGTATCCTCTACGCGCCCAGATAACTCACCCCCGTAAATATTGACAAGAATGGCCTTGACGCGCTCGTCTCTCAGGATGATGCTGAAAGCCTGCATCATCGTCTGCGTCGTCGCCTGGCCGCCCGCGTCCAAAAAGTTGGCGCTCTGGCCGCCCGCCAGGCCAATGGCATCGTTCGTCGCCATCGCCAGTCCCGCGCCATTGACCACGTTGCCAATCGTGCCCTCCATGCGCACGTACACGAGGCCGTGCCGCTCCGCCTCGACCTCGTCGCGCACCTCCTGCTCCGTATCCCGCAGCGCAAACAGATCCGCCTGCCTCTTGTGCGCGTCGTCGTCAAACGCGAACCGCGAGTCCAGGCAGGTGAACCGGTCGCCCGAGCGCGCCAGCGAGCGCACCTCGAGCAGCATGCCCTCTTTCTCGCGAAAGATGCGGTGCAGCGCGGCGAGCGTCGCACCGAGGCTGGTCGCCGCGTCGGCGACGCCGAGGTCAGCGGCGATGCGCTCCGTGAGAGACGCCGGGACGCCCGCGGTCAGGGAAAAGTGGTAGGTGCGAATGCTGGCGGGGTGCTGCTGGGCGATGGCGCGGATGTCCTGGCCGCCGTGCTTGGAGACGATGATGACCGGCTGGTAGGTCTCCCGGTCAATGGTCATGGCCAGGTACCAGACTTCGTCGTAGGTCGCGGGCTGCGAAATGTACAGCTCTTTGGCGACGACGCCGCTGTCAGTGGTGGCGCGTAAAAGAGTGCTGGCGAGATGAGCGGCCTGCTCGGGGCTGCGGGCGACCAGGCCGGCTGCTTCTTGCTCGGCCAGGGACACATTTCGCTTGATGAGCTGTGCGCTCAGCAGACTATTGTTTCCTGGATCTACTGATCAGCGGGCTGCTTCAAGAACCGGGCACGCTTGCCTTACCAAGCTCTTCCACCGCTGCCCGCGCTTCTTCGGCGCTGCGTACAACGAGGCCTCGTGGCACCACAGCTCCAGCCTGATGTTTGTTAGCTGGCATCACCGAGAAAAATAATATTCAAGGGGCTCACCTGTTTCAGCAACTCTTGTGATTGATATTGGTGAAGCGTGAGCCTCCGCACATGTCTCGGTGCCAGCTACCGAATTGTCAGCGTACGAGAGACTTGGCTTGTCTGCACGGAGCCTACCTGAGAGCTGGCTTTCCATAGCCGCATGCCTGATCTTTGCGAAGCCATTGGGTCAAATAAACAAAAATGCAAACGGAGAAAGTCTTTGAGATGTTCCACGTCAAAAGTTGAAGCTCCCGAGATGGTACTACGCCGTGCATGTAGTTGCCGGTCGGTAGCCGGCTTTATGATGTTGGCTTCTCGTGGGGCGGCTTCAATGCCGTCACCGGCCAGCTAGTTCTCGGGTATATGATGTCGCGAGCTTGGCAACTTATTTAGTCGAGCTAGCTGCTACCAGTTGCTGCAACCTGCTCGTCGACTCTCAAGTATACTATATCGTAAAAAGAAAGGAAAATGAGCAGGCCAAGTTGTCGGGCCAGCGCGCAATGGGTGCGACAATTCAGCACCTCGGCCCGTCGTCCGCAGAGCAGCGCGCAAGACGCCGCAGCGCGTCTCCTCGACACCTTTGCCGGCAAGACGGTGCGCCAGCACCAGCTCCTCGACGGCAACCAGCTCCAGAAGCTGTCCCTCACCCTGAACCGGCCGTCCATCGGCGCCCACGACGTGACCGCGCGCGCGCCGCCCGCCGGCACGCCCGTGCCGCCCGGCCACCACCTCGTCTACTTCACGCCGGCCGGCCTCGAGGCGAGCCTGGGCCCCGACGGCTCCGACCGGACCTACAACGCGGCGGCGCCGTTTTCCCGACGCATGTGGGCGGGGGGCACGATGCGGTGGCCCGGCGGCGGCGGCGCGTGCCTCCGCGTCGGCGACGAGGTGGAGGAGCGCACGACGCTGCTGAGCGCGACGGCGAAGAAGAGCCGCTCGGCCGGCGAGATGGTCCTGGTCGACGTGGTCAAGGAGCTGGAGGGACCGCGTGGCGTGGCCGTCGTGGATCGCCGCTCGTGGGTGTTTCGGCCGGAAGTCGACGCCGGCGGTGGTGCGGAGGCGGCGGCGCCGCGACGGACGAGGCACGGGCCGACGGTGGTTCGGGATGTAGCAGGCGAATCAGAATGTGAGTGCCCCTCAACGCTGGGGGGAAGAGTCATGGAATGAAGGAAATCTCACAGATGCAGTTGTCGCAAGACACTTTTGCTGGTCCCCGGTAGGCCTCTTCCGCTTCTCGGCGCTGACGTTTAACGGGCACAAGATTCACTACAACGAAGGCTGGACGACGGCTGTTGAGGGCCACCCGGGCGTTGTCGTGCATGGGCCGCTGAATCTCATCAATATCCTGGACTACTGGAGGGATGTCCACGGACATGGCCAGGCGCCAAAGGAGATTGTCTACCGCGCCGTGGCGCCGTTGTACGCAGGTGACGAGTATCAGGTGCGCACTGCCAGTTTAGAGGACGGCGCCGACGGCAAAAAGTATCAAATATTGGCGGAGAAGGATGGTCTTGTGTGCATGAAGGCCGATGTACTGTGACGGCGCAGATTTACATTTCAATAGCGTGCATCCATCATGAGCTTTGTATTTCTCAATTCTTCGTCATGCACGTCATCTCCTCCTGTCTGTTTACTATTGGTCAGAGGCTCGAGGCGCTGCATAATGCTGCTCGCGAACTCGCCCAAAGGCGCATCATAGTCGACCGTGTAAATTGAGACGGAAACCCCCCCATTCTCAACCACATACGTCTCGGTATCTCTAGGAACTTTGCATTTACCCATCTCTGAGCCAATTCGATATACTCTGTAGTATGCGTCTTTACGGACATGTTATACAAGTTTGGTCATAATTGTGCTTGGAAACAACTCGTCAAGGCTTCCTCCCCCCAACTCGAGTGTCTCATCTATCTTACTAAATGAGTGAAATGTCAATAGTGGGAATAGTGTAAACGTACCGCTAATTACGACTGATTAGGATGTGCGTACGTGAATTCCTTGGCTCCAATGGCTCGGGTGTATTTTTATTGCACCCGAATCCCATGATGGCTGGGGATCGTTGATGAAGCCATGAGTATGCGTCATGATGAATCCGCCCGTGTTACATTTGTGACCTTTGGAATGCCAAGTACAAAAAGACTATGACTGATTTTTCCACATTTTAATTCTGTTAAATTCCGCGATTTCACAAACAATACACAACTTTACACTCTACCCCATGTGGCTGCCGAAACTATCGACTCCAGCAAGCCACATTTGCCAGACGCGGTTCTACCTCTCATCCACCTCGGCCTTCCGGAATTGGAAGCTTGGCCCAATTCCAACATCAGACTCATCATGGAAAACGTATTCCGAGAAATAACCAGCGACACATACGAGGAGGTCTGGATCCGTGGTGCCGTGAATATTTGCCGGCAAATATCGCCGATGAGCTAAGTTTGTATTCCCCCGCCTTCAACCCCGCCCCTAGATCGAGGTAGCTCAATGAAAACAACTTGCCTCTTATCACTTGCATCACTTGTTCTGTTCTTCATTTCGCACAAATACAATTCCTCCGGCTCCAGCACCAGCCAGTCTTTTCACTTCTTTGCCTGACG